CTTCCAGCAAAGCAGGCTCAAATCTTAGAGCCAAGTCCTCCTCTTCCTCCTGACTCCCGTCTGTGTCACTCAACAAAGCAGGCTTAAACCTTAATGCCAGATCTTCCTCATCACTCGAGCCTATGTCTTCTGACAGAGCAGGTTCAAACCTCCGAGTCACAACAGGTATATATATATATATATACCCTATATACACAAACACACACATCCATTTTACTTCTGCAGCACTTAGGTATAGGGTATATATATACCCTATATATATATATACAAACACACACATCCATTTTACTTCTGCAGCACTTCTTTCTGAGAATTCTCTTACAGCTCTCCAGGAAAGTTAGTGGAAGAAGAAAAGAGTACAAGAAATTATGATCAGAAGAAGACTCCCCCAAGGAAAAAGAACTAATCCAGTGGAAGTAGCAAGTTAGTGTTTCAAATGAATGTCAAGTAGAAGTGGATGAAAAGGATGAGGTCCATGGAACTGGGGCTGCTCAAGCAACTGGAAGCTCACAAAGGAAGTGAGCTTCAACCCCTCTGAGATATTATCATCCTGGCCTCTCCAGAATAATAGAAAAGATTCTCAACTCTGCAAGGATTATCAAAACCAAAGATTCCTCTGAGGTAGTAGTAAAACTTGGTGGAAAGATGACCAAACTGCATTAAATTGACCAATTGCTATCCGTTCTTGCTTATCAATGTTGGGAAAACAATGCTGGCAGGGGACAAACTCTTTATAGAATTAAAAGTGATTGTAAAGTCTTGGATAGGAAAGTAAAATTGCAGAGATGGTGATAAAAAAGGTACTTGAATGCGCGGAGATGGACAGATTAACAGATTAACGATGGAGTTAAAAGGGAAGGAAGAAACAGGTTATTACATGATTTGGGATACATGGTATGAGTGGTTAAAGAATAGATATAAAGACTATAGACAAATATATATGTAGATATTTGTGAAAAGGCAAAATATATATGCAAGAATATTGTTATGGGAATAGTATATAAGAGGAAAGGAAGAAAAGTGAAAATAGTAATATGTAACTGTTCTGTCTCACCTGTATCCACAGGTGAGAGTCCAAAGTTCCAAAGTACAAATGCTCAAACAGACAGTCTCAGACACGGCAGAGTTAACTGCTTCTGTTTACACAGTCCTTGGCAGTCTTCCTGGAATCTGTCTGGCAAGTCCGAACTAACCATAAATCAAGACGCTGTAGCCGAGTGTATCAGACATAACACCAACCGAAATGACACCTTGCTTCGAATGGAGATTCAGAGCTAGCACGCTTCCTTATATTCCCTAAGAGGCATGCCACAAATATCTTTGGATCACATGGGATTGAGCTGTCATTTGCACTTTCCCCCTCAATCAAAATTGGACGACAATGCCCATATATGCAGTATACACTTGAACTAGACTGTGATGTTTAGATGTTTCTTTGTCTCATATATGAGTGTGTATGTGGTTATATTATCTGAGGGTATATATGAGAGCTGGATGCAACAAATTTTCATTTTAATGTATGCTGATTAGTGTAGTTTTAAAGTGACAATGAAGTTTTCATTCTATTCTATAACCTCCAGTGGAAAAGACCCATGTGCAAATTCAAGCTTGGCTGCTCATGAGCCTTAAATGATTGTGCCCCCTTTGTGAAGTGGTCGGGCTAGCTCTGCTAGGGAGGACTCTGAGGCCAAACAGAAGGCCACCTGCTCTTTTGTGACCCACCAACGCAGATCTGCTAAAGCAGCTCTTTGCATCCGATTAAATTTTGCATTTTCATCTAGCCAACAGCAGCTGCTTGCCTCCCTCCCCTCCCCAGCATTTAGAAGGATTTGTTAGTTAAATGCTAATGCCACCAGATAAATGATACAAATCGCGAGGTGGGAGAGTTTTATTTTCCAGTTAGCCCAGGGAACCTTGGGGACAAGCCTTTGAAACATTGGATGGATGGATGCTGGGGCCACTGTGTAACCTCAATAACCTTTAAATGAAAGAAATTGACATTGAGTCACCTCGCGGCTTCTGACTCCAGATTTATCCCATGCAATTTGTGGAAGAAAAATTATTTACTGGCAATAGATGTAAGCATAAAGTTAAACACACACCCCCCACACCAGTTTTACAGAAAAACTGCTTGCTTCTTTGAAAGACCCCATATTTCACACAGATCACCTCTGAGTTGGAAAGTTCTCATTAGTGGCTGACATATCTTTGCACAGGATCTGCCCTGCATCTCTTCTCTGAATGATGGTGTTTAGGGGTGGTCCAACATGCAGACCTTACAGAAGGAGGGTGACCTTCAACCTCCAGCAGAACTTTGCTGGAGGTTGAGGCCTGAAAACCCCAGAGAAGGGAATGGGGGTCAGGGGACAGGGGCTTCATAGATGCACAAATCCTGTGAGAAAAACAAGACTTGGTAGCCAAAATTTCCTTCGGCATTCACTGGCAAAGGAGTCCAAAACAACCTCTTACATCTTTACCACTTTGTCATTTGCACACACTGCTTTTTTCATCCTAATGCCATCCATGGTTTCCAGCCACCTCAGCTCTCAGGCAGGGCGTTGGTCTCTGAGGGCCAGTTGCAGAGGGCTGGACCCTGCAGCCAGGAACCTTCTCTAAGGAGAGGGGAAGTAGTCTTGGCATCGCTGGGTGCCCTCTGTGGCTGTGTCTTCACTTGAAAAGAAAGTGCCCCTGAGATGCCAAATGGGGCTGCTTTGCTTCTGGGCCACCGCAAAGCTTTGCCTCTGGCCCACTTCTTCTCTGCCCCTGCTGGCCATAGTCACAAAGCATTCAGCCCGAGTTGCCTTTTGCTGCCTTTTGCTGGCTTAGGGTTGGATGCTTGCTGCCCCGAAGGCAGGAGGGACTTCGGAGGGCCAATTCTCGGCCAGCCCTTGAGAAAGGGAGAAAACACAGACTGGCTTCTGCAACATAACATCAAGCAAGCACCTGCATTTAATAGGCGGCAGGAGTGACAGCAGGACTGATAAACAAGGCAATTAATGAAATATTATTTCATTGTTTATCAGTCCTGCGGTGATTCACTTAACAACCATGGCAAGAACAGTCGTAAAAAGGGGCAAGGTTACTTCACAAATGCTTCACTTAGCAAACAGAAATTTTGGAGTCAATTGTGGCCATAAGTTGCAGGCTTCCTGTATTGCAGGCAAAAACTATGCGGATGGCGGGAGTAAGTTTCATCCGAAGCTCTTTGGAACAGGAATACCTAGAAGTGACTGAAGCCTTTCCCCGTTTTCTCTCTACAGCGGTGTCTCTCCTCCTTCCTTGACCATAACGATCGATCGATCGATCGACAGAGACCAGGCTCCATGGATGAGTGGGATCCCCCACAGTGGAAAAAGGAAATTGAAAGCCTTAAGTATCAGTTGGCTTACAAGCGGGAGGTATCCTCAAAAACAATTCCTGAGTGAGTTCACCAAATATTATTTTGTGCAAATAAGAGAACTAGAATGTTATACAAGCCTTGAGTTTCCAGCCCCTAAAGTTGCAAAGAAAAGCCTTGAAATTGGAGTGGGAAATGTGCAATGAAGGGGGGGGGGGTTATGATTATTCAGCTTTTGTTCCGGGAATTACATGTCGGACATTTTGTTTGGGTTCAGTAGAACTTGATCAGTTAAATAAAGAACAGCTGCATTCAAGCAATGTGGTTGGGGGTCTTGGTTATTTGCAATTAGTATACTTTGTGAACTCCACCTGCTTGGTGAGCGGGATTCCATGCAAACTTGGGAAATGAGTACAGAGATAAGTTAACATGGAGGCCGGATCTGCACATTTATATTTCCAGATTTAATTTCCAAGTAGAACTGGAAAGATCCAGCCTGAAATCTGGCAAACTGCAGCCAAGCCCAGGCCATATTTTGAGTTTCTCCAACATTCTGGGTGTTGATGTAGAGTAGACCAAAGTCGGATGACTTTTGATCAGAATAACATATTGATAAGCCTCCATGTAGGGAAATCAGGCTGGGAATTCCACTGTGGGCATTACTTTGCATCTCTGGAAAGAAATCACCTCTGCTGTGCATTTCAAAGCATTTCTCTCCTCCTTTGATACAAAAGTAAAGATTTGATGTAGTGCTTAAACACACTAGACTGCGGAGAGAAGACTGGCCCCAGTCCTCTTCCAGCCTCCTTTTAGACACAAAGCCAGCTGGGTTCGTTAGTGTCTCGGAAGGCAAACTGCTTGGATCTGTGTATGTAGTCACCATGAACCAGATTTGACTCCAAGGATCAGGGGAAGAGATGGAAGGCAGCATGGAGTACATTATTCACATGCTGCATCCAGAAATCTCCTGCCTTTTGTGATATCAAAACAATCTGTGACCACAATGATACATACTTTTATTCAATGACTATTTTAAAGTAATTACATGCAGATTATCTACTTTATCCAAGAGTTTTCCTGAGTTTTGGAGATTTTCAAATATTATTATACAAATGTAGCCAGATCCAGAGTTTTGTATGAGTGATGTGCATGTGCAAAAGATTCAGGCTCTGGAACAAAATTCTGTCACTCCTCCTCACAACTTCTCATGACTTTCCTGCAAATTCCTGCTTGCAATTGTATTTAGAAGTAATTTAACATCACTTTTTAAAGATGAGAATTATACTCCTGGAGATGACAGCTCCATCAATCTGGATAACAAGAATTCAAATTATAACACTGGATGTTAACCGTGAGAGATCTTGCTTCCTGTTCCTTTCTAGATTCCTTAAATGGATTGAGGATGGGATCCCAGAAGATCCATTTCTGAACCCAGAACGGATGAAAAACAACCCCTGGGTGGAAAGAGGAAAATGTACAATACTCTAGTCCACCAAGCACCATCCCTGATTGACAAACGCTTTCCTTTGGACCTGCTCCAAAATTGCATAAAAACAGAAGGCTCCAAAATTCATTTGCTTGCTGCTCCGGCTCAATTCTCGTTCATAGTCCTTTGTTAGTGCTGGGGCCTTATGGAAGGACTGTGTTGAAGGCTTCCCAATTACTGGTCTCTGGGGCACTCTTGGGGTGGGGGTGGCACAAGGGGCACTGGAGGGGGCCTTCCCACAGTGGCTTCCTCGGAAATTCTGGTGGCACTGAATTTGCAATGTCTCCCAGATCCTGGCTGTGGCTTTGCCTCTGCAGAAAGCCAGATTATCCACACAGGGGAAGAGTGGCCTGGCCATCTGTTGTGTGGTGGGAGAGAACCAGGATGAACATGGCTTATCCTCATTGGCACAGAATGACGGGAGCCTCCAATGCCACATCACAATATGTTAGGACCCGTTTATTTTAAACCTGACAGTTCATGATTTGGGAACCATTGGGAGGGATAAATTTGTACGGAGGAGACTTCCTATTTTGAATTACTGCAACTAAAAGAACGGAAATTAATTGTAACCAGGAAGAGAGAAGCAGAATCAAAGTCCTTCTTAAGAACCCCACCAATTGCTCTTTCTTGTAAATCTAATTTTGTTTGCTGTCTTCTTTCTCTTTTTTTAGATATAAACACACATTTTATAAGCATTTTCAAATTTTTGTATTTTAGGAAATTCAGTTTTGCAGTAAAAAACTGCATGAGTGTAATAAGTTTACAAATGAAATAAAGCAATATGAAGCATGTCTTTATTTACTTCAAAATAGGATTTCATACAAAAAATATAAAAAGTCCTCCTTTTGCCTGATTTTTCATGCCCTTATTTTCATTTTTTGTTTTAATTGCTAGAGCAAATCTTTGATATAAATGTTTCTCCGAACTGCATTGGAAACACCTTCATTAAACCGGAACCAAACATCACTTTGCCCAACAGCTTTTCCAATTTGCTTTTCGACTGTATTTTTCTCAGGTTCTAGGGGAGAAAAAGAAAAGGGAAAAATGGTCATTGTAGGGGCTTTGGTGATCATAAAGTCAAAACGGTGACTAGAACCACACCACTAAAATTTTCTCCCTTCTTTGTAGGACTTAACTTATAAACAAGAGGTGGTTGATTAGGCCTGCCTGGAACGGAGAACCAGAGAATGGCTCAGGCGGGTTAAAGAGGGCAGATCAAGGTTTGCAGCCGGATGACTTCCTTGTCCTCCTTCTACCTGAAGGGGAGATTAAGGTTATTTTTTTCAGCCCTGGAGGGCAACAATAACAAAAATAACCAAAAACAATGAATCATCAGGCTGCAAACCTTGATGACCGATCATGGTTAGAAGCTGCCTTCTTTAACCCGCCTGAGTCATTCCCTGGTTCTCACTTCAGGACAGACCTGATCAAGTCAGAAATCAAAGCAGAAAACCAAAGGTATTTTTATATCATGTCCCTCACTGGGGTGCATTCACCACCACCACCCCCAGGGGATTCAGGAAGTGCTACTTTATGGTTCCAGGGTATATTGACTGCTGAAATCTCACCCGCACCCTTCGCTGTCCCCTCTTTTGGGGACCCCAGGGGCAAGGCGGGCTCTCTGTTCTCCCGGGGCTGAGCAATCCTTTCACTCGAGGCCAAACTACTCAAAACTGCCACAATTTCTGTGCTGCAAACTGAAATCGCTTCCAAAGCCAGTGAATGCAACTCTGGCCAACCAAGGAAGCCGAAAGGACTGGCTCTCTCCAGTCACGCTCTGTGTGTGCTTTAATAAGAGAGAGAGAATATCCCCCCCCCCCCCCCCCCCCCCCCCCCGGGGGGGGTTTAAAAAGGGGGGGAGCAACCCCCCCCCCCCCCCCCGTTGTCCCTGCAGAGGACGAGGAACGAAAGGGCAGCAGCCCACCCAACAATTCCTCTTCCCCGTGAGGGTCATTTCCTTGAAGAGGCATCTCAATTCAGGCTGAGAGGGGAGCTGAGCCCTACTTTAGCCCACCAATTCCCCAGAGGAGGGGACAGGACGGGAAGGGAAACTTCAGCCCCAATCTTACCTGGTGAAGGGGCTGCATTCTTCTTGAGGATGACCTGGCCAAAGAAGTCTCTTTCTGGCTGGGGGGAGGGAAGCAGAGATCATCAGCCACTCGAAAGGTTTACTCTTCTCAAAGAGCAGCACAAAAACAACAGGCAGCAGCTATTCCACAATCTCTGCCAGAGCCTGGATGCCCATCAGGGCCCACAGGGGCTTAAAGGAGCCCGATTTGGCACCTTCTTTACTGAATTTCTCTCTACATTTTTCAACAATAAAACAAAATGGGGAATTGACAGGGTACAAGGCTAAATTCCACTTTAGCTTCATGATCTCCATTCCAAAATCCCCCACCTGGGGACCCCACTGGTGTTTCTAGACAAAATGGGTGGCTTCAGGCTGATGCTTTGTTGGGAAATGTGCCCCCCTGCCCAGAAAAAAAGACCAGGAAGCCAAAAGGGGTTGTGGCTGGTTCACGGCCTTCATTTGTCCAACTGGCAACATGGCCACTGACCTCTACAAGGAACCTCTCCACACACTTGGATCACTGCATTCTCCTCAAGGCTTCCGTGTCAACAACACTTCCAAACTTGTTCTAAGCCTCTCGCCCTGCCTGTGGCTGCATCCTTGGCACGGCCAGGTTTTCTGAGAACGGGTCAATCTATACCACCAATAATAAACTATACTAGAATTGGGGGACTGAAGTCATGTTTTTCATTTGCAATTTGTAATGTTTCATGAACCAGCTTCCTTATTTAGTGGATATTTTGACAGCTCTCCAACTCAAGCTCCTTTCCAAGACTGTCTAGCAATGAAGTTGTGGGAGTGCCATCACTTGAGACTTTCAAGAAAAGAATGGACTGCCATTTTGTCAGAAATGGTGTAGGGTCTTCCGCTTGGGTGGGGGGTTGGACTAGATGACCTACAAGGTCCCTTCCAACTCTGATTATCTGTTATCTGTATTCCAGAATCTTTAACCGTGGAGCTCCTGTGGTTTCTCGGGCCAAAGAAAGTGTTGGCTCACAAGGCCATACATGCTTTGGCCAAACTCTGCAATAATTCACCATCCTACCCCTCTAGCTCTTATATTAGAAACTGTTCTTCAGCCTGTTGGTGCGGCTGGCTATAGAAGCAGGCTGAAGTACAGTTTCTACCTGTGGCTGTCAGACTCCTGAACGGAAAATAACTCCATGTCAACATAGTAGGACAGACTTGCGGGGCTGTTGTGTTGTGCAACAAGGTCACTTAGCGTAATGAGATTGGGGCTGGGTTAGGGACTTCTGTCCTCACGGTGTTGTGTTGGGGGAGGGGTGCACGAAGGGAGGCTCAGCCAATCTCATTGTACACATGTTGTACTTTGACAATAAAAGTAATAATATATGGTTATCACCTTTTCCTCAACTGTTGCTCTCTTCACAATTTGGCCCAGACTTTGCTCGTGGTTCCTGATTCTGGATTTGCGCCGTTCTCCACCTGTCCCCGTTTCATGGTTGGTTTCTGTGGGGAGGGACCTGGCCTCTAATGCCTGAGGGAAGGCAAGGAAGCATTCGGGTGTTTAGGAGGGAGAAGAATGAAACAAGGGGAGAATTACAGCAGTTATACCAGAGCTGTATGCAATCTTCAACTGCCAGCCTTAAAAATTGCTTGCCATTTAAATGTTTATGATCAATTCCAAAATGCCCCCCATTAAATTATGTATTTTCCCCAAATTGTTTATTTTTTAAAAAGAGCAGATTAAAAATATTTGTTCTCTTTTAATGCATCACAGACCACTTCGGGAGCTATACCTGGGAGTTAGTGGCAGATGTAAGATATGGGGTGGGCAAAAAAGACCCCCCTGCCTTTTTTTAACTGCCCCCCCAAAGTTTCTCCTCAGAAGCCCTCTGGATATTGTATCAACATGAATAATAATTCCACGGTGGGAAAGTGAGGCGGTGGTGGGCAGGTGCAGCCAACCACTGTGGACGAGAGCTTGGCCCTTCTGAATTGCCACCAAAGGCCGGCCAGCCTGGTGGGCGCAGCGCACGACCAGATCCAAAGGGATGTTGGTAAGGCGAGCCTGGTGACCTGCTAGCTCCTCAGAACCGGCCACCAAGCCAGCCAGCCAGCAGTGCCCAGGGGCTTCCCAAGCAGAGATGATACCTGGCGGGGGGCCTCCATCTGCCTCATCTTCTCCACTTGGATCTCTCGCGCAATGAGCTGCTTGGCCTGGTAAGTCAGCGGTTTCCGGAACGGGAGATCAGGAAACCTACAAACCTCTTCCACATTCCTGGGGTTTGCAGCCGAGGCAGCGGGATTATGGTAAAAGGAAACAAGTCCCAAAGCAGGTTAAAAACAAACCACACCCTTTCACATGTATACAATTTGGCATTTGGGTCACAACAAGGTTTTGTAAACCCTACTGAAATAGGAGTTGCAAAGCTACTTGGAGATGGAAATACACCCCAACCTTCCTGCCAATATCCAGGATATGTGAAATATTCCAGGGTGGGCCAACTGTGTAGCTGAACTGATGGAGCAGACCCCAACCCCTTTCAGATTCTAGCTATGAGATGCCACATTTGAACACAGCCTTTATAAACCTCCTGCACGCACAACCCTGGGAACCAAAGTGATTTCTCCGCAGGGTCAGTTTTCCATTCGCCCTGAAACTTCCTCGGGGAACCTGGATAACTAGGACTCAACCCTCCCATTTGGTAGCTTGAAATCCCCTTGGCGTCTCTGAACACGAAGCGTTTGATCAGCTGCTTCTCCTGCACCATAAATCTTGGGGCCCAGCAGAACACCGCTCGTGTGTCTCATTTTCACAAGGGACCCAGTACTGCAAGCTACTCTTGCATCGGATGTTGTATTTCCAGGGAGAACAACTGTGAAACCGTGCAAAACTGACCTGCTCTGTGAAAAGGCAGTACTTACGGGTCAAGCTTGTAGATGTATTGGCCTTCTGGAGTTCGCTCTTGATGGTAGGTGAGATTGTATGTCAGCATAATGTTGATCAGCTGCGACAGCTGCTCCTTTTCCTTCTGACTGTACAGCTGTGTGTTCACCTAAGAGGTAAGAAGAGTGACTCCATCTCCCTTTAGCGTTTTGCTTCTCCCACCACCCAGCTTCTGAGGGGCTGGCAAGCAGGAGAAAGAGAACCGCATTTCTTCCTCCATCTCTGCTCAGTAACATTTGGGGAGAGTTGCCCTCCGTTGGGAGATAAGGTCGAGGCTTCCTCCAGGCATCCACCCTGTTTGAAAGCAGCTCAAGTTAGTTGCCGCGTTAGTTTAGGCTCTGCTCAATCAGGCTAGCTCAAATGAGCCCAGCACCTTGACTTTCACAGCAAGGACACCGTGCTGCTGGGATGCTTGCAAGCAGGAGACAGAGGAGGCCAGGCCTCTTCCCATGACTGCTCTCCACAACGGGCATTTGCAGGCATGTGGCAGGCAGTCTTCAGTGCCAACGGTTTTACCAGATCTTTCTTCCACTAAAGCCATCAATACTACAACTTATACAGAATGAATAATCATGAGATTATGATGATTAGGTTAATGATTTATAATTATTTTTACACCATATTAAAATTTGATTAAAAATAGGAAAGTTCTAGAATTCAACAGATCACAATTACTAATTATATATATCTAAATAACAAGAAAAAAGTGAAGGAAATAGTCAGTCCACTAAAGAGAGAAGATGACAAGGAAGTAACAGGCAGTAGAGAGTAAGCAGAGTTGCTCAACTCATTCTTTGCATCAGTCTTCACGCCAAAACAAAAAACCCTATAGCCCAACCTACCAAAAACATAACCGTAAAAGATAGAATAGAAATAAAAATTAAAATAAGCAAGAAAATGATAAGGGAACAACTGTCTGGCCTTGATGAATATAAATCACCGGGACCCGATGGGTTACATCCCAGGGTTCTAAAGGAGCTGGCAGAGGTCATCTCAGAACCATTGTGTTCTTTATCTTTAAAAAGTTTTGGAGCACTGGAGAACTACCAGGGGGTTGAAAAAGAGCTGATGTAGTTCCCATCTTCAAAAAGACTAGGAAAAAAAAAACAGACTCAGGAAACCAATCAGCCTAACATCAATACTTGGAAGATACTGGAACAATAATCAAAAACCAGGTCTGTGAACATCTAGAAACAAATAGTTAATAACTAGAAGCCAGCACCGGTTTGTTTAAAACAGTTCATGCCAAACTAATCTTATTTCATTCTTTATCAAAGTGACTAAATTAGTAGACCAGTGAAATGCTGTGGACATTATTTAGTGTATTTAGACTTCAGCAAGGCATTTGACAAAGGAGACCACAACCTATTTCTTGGTAAGCTAGAAACATGTGGGATAGATAGCATCCCCAGCAGATGGATTTGTAAATGGCTGACAAACTGTACTCAAGTCATCCTTAATGGTACTACATCTATATGGAGGGAAGTAAGAAGTGGGGTTCAAGGTTCCATTTTAGGCCCAATACTCTTCAATATCTTCATGAACGACATGCATGAGGGAATGGAAGGGGAACTCATCAAATTTGCAGCTGACACTAAGCTGGCAGGAACAGCCAACACCCCAGAAGACAAGCTCAGGATTCAAAAAGATCTTGACAGACTTGAACAATGAGCCCTATCCAACAAAATTAAATTTAATGTGGAGAAAAGCAAGATTTTACACCTGGGCAGGAAAAAATAAAGGTACAGGTACAGATTAGGCAAAACCTCACTCAAAAGTTACCTATGAGAGGGGCCTTGGAGTCCTAGTGGACACATTGTGGCCTGCCAGCCTCTGGCCCCTTCGGCAGCCAAATCAGATGAAGAGGCAGCATGGAAGTCACAGCCAGCATCAAGACAGTCTGAGACCTCTGAGGGGGAAGAGGGAATCAGGATACAGAGGCGGAGCCTGGCCTGTCCGTCAGCCCCCAGATGGAGAGTCAACAGCTCCCAGGTCTGGAGGTGGCTGAAGAGGAAGAGCTGGGTCCAGTGCCTGATATGCAGATGTGCAGAAGGCAGAGGAGAGCAGTGGAAATCTATGGGGTGGTCCTTGGGATGGAAGAGCCACGACTGCTAGCGAAGCCCCACCCTAGCTCTGGGGATCAAAAGCAGGGGGCAGAGAAGAATAGGTGTGGCAGACAATTATTCATCTCCCTGCTGGTCTGCCACTTTCAAGTCCTGTCTGCAGCGCCTTCTGAGCTTGTGTGTGTGTGTGTGTCTCTCTCTCTGCTGCTGGAAGAAAGTAAGCGCACCTTCCAGGACTTCCTTTGCAAGTGTGGGAAGAGAGAGAGAGAGAGAGAGAGAGAGACTCCAGGTGTGTTTGGCCAGTTCAGGGGGAAATACGGCATCCAGTTTTGGTCACCACATTACAAATAAGATGTTGAGATTTTGGAAAAAGTACAAAAAAGAGCAACTATGATGATTAAAGGCCTGGAGACTAAAACATGAAGAACGCTTGCAGCAGGGGTGGGTTTCTACCGGTTCTGTCCACCTCTGTAGAACCGGTAGCTCTGAAGAGCAGCAGACATAGAACCGGTTCTATGTCTGCTGATGTTTTTACCCACCCGCCCACCCGGGCTCTTACCTGACCTTTATTTCCTGATTTTTCAACTTCAGCTGCCGTGCGAGGCACAGCTGCAGTTAAAAAAGGAGGAAAAGGGGGCTTTTTGAAAGGCTGCTTCTCAGCATGCAGCGCTGCTCAGCTGTCCAGGCACCAGGCTGATGACGATTTACAGGCCGCTGAGAGCGCAGTGTGCAGGGAAGCACATCATAAATCACTGAACCTCGTAAATCACCTAACCGGTAGTTAACCCTGTCGGATCCCACCCTGGCTTGCAGGATTTGGGTTTGGCTACTCTAGAGAAAAGGACTGGGTGGACATGATAGCAGCGTTCCAGTATTTGAGAGGTTGCCACAAAGAGGAGGGACGACAAGAAACAATGGATGGAAACTCATCAAAGAGAGAAGCAACCTGGAATGAAGGAGAAACTTCCTAACAGGGAGGACAATCAACCAGTGGAACTACTTGCCTCCAGATGTTGCGGATGCTCCATCACTGGAGGTTTTTAAGAAGAGTCTGGACAGTCACTTGTCCAAAATGGTACAGGGCCTCCTGGACTAGAAGACCTCCAAGGTCCCTTCCAGCTCTATTCTGATTCTAATGTTTACGAAGGTTTAAACAATTGTTCCACTATTATTATTGGTTAATCTTCAATTCGATTCACCGTCTGTGACTGGTAAAAACTGAACAATTCAAGCCCGAACCAAGGACCTAAGAGCTGTTAAGGTAACACCTGAGTTCCAAGTAGGGTGGTTCTTTTCAGTTAAAATATTCAGGTAAAATAAGTTAAAATTTCCCATGTATCTAGGCAGCCCTTTGGGTATTGCTCCAAGGGCTCTTACTATTATTGGTACAACCATTGATTTCTTTCTCCACAATCACTCAACTTCAATTTGCAAATCATGTTCTTTCATTCTTTTTTCTAGCTTTTTTTCTTTTCCACAATAGTGATGTCAGACGTGCTGTGGATCTTGTCTGTTTCGATCTGAAAGTTCCACAGGATCTTGACCTGTTCATTTTCAAGAACTTTGTCAACTTCGTGTTCCCAGTAATTTTTGCTGCATTCAACCCCAAATTTCTGGCAAAGCTTCCAATGTATGATTTTTGGCATCTCAATCATGATGTTGTAGAGAATTAGTCTATGAAATGTTGCTGCAGCCACTGAGAAGTTGACCTACCGATCTTTCCCTATGCATAAGTGGCATTTGCTGTTGTTACTGACATGTTGAATTTTTGCTTTCACGGAATTGGTCTGCAATTGGTCTGTTTCTGGGCAGCCAAAACGAAGCCGTCAGTTTCTATCTTAAGCTTTGGCAAGGCAGGCTGGCACAAAACTGCTTTTCTCGGTAAGCAGCTCTCCATTCTTGCTTCAGCTGGTATCGTTTATCATCACTTGCCAGAATGCATTGTTATTGCATTCATGCTGTGCGCGAGAGTGCCTTTGAGTCATTGCTGACTCAAACAGGTAACTGCCTGGACAGGTCCCTGCAATTTCCCTGGCAAGATCTCAGAAGTGGTTTGCCATTGTCTGGGCCATGAGAGAAGCTGGCCCAAGATCACCCAGCTGCCTTTGTGCCTTGGGCAGGATTACACCTCCACAAACTGGCTCTCGTTCATGCCTTACAGAGCCCAAAAGAGATCGAAGTGGAGGCGATTGTCTTCGACCTGAGGATTTGGATCTTATTGTCTCTCTAGCCACTTGCTCAGCCAGTCCTGACCCAGGAAATCCTTCCCATCCCCAGTAAGGAGTTTTTCTTACCGGTCTCAGTTTTGGCGAAATGATCTCCAAGAGGAGACAAAGGGCTTCAAGGATAAAAGATTGAGGTCTGACACGACTGCGGGAGTTGGGTGCAATTCCAGAAATCATGGAATCTACCAGATGATGCATCTGGGTTAGTTTTGATAGAGCCTGAATGAGAAAAAGAACAGGAAACATTTGTAGGCAGACAAAGTTCCAAAGAGATTTCATCAGCATCATGCAGAATATTGACAAACAGTGCAATTTCTCCCAAAAGGCTGCAAAAGGTTTGTTGGCTGTCAAAGCCCCCCTAAGAAGCTGCCTTCTAGAGACAGCCTTGACGGAAAATGCAACATCAGTTGGGAAAACATGAACTTACAGACAGGCATGAGATTTCTTTCTCACGCCTGTCTGTTTTTCTGAGCTAAGTTCAAGATTACCCCACCTTGACTATCTTTGGTATAAAAAAGAAAGAAGGAAAAATGTTCATAGGCTTTCATGATTATTATTGTAATAAAATGAGGTTCTAATCTTTCTTTGGCATTCATTTCTTCCCTGCTCTATCTGGAAGGGTTGATACCAACTCAGTAGATCTTGAGCTTAGGAGTTTTCTGCAGTCTTCCCTCTCAGACCTAAACTGAACTTGAGACTGTCTGAATTTGCATGCAAAACTGCCATTTTTATCGCTTGACTCAATGCCGTAAGAGGCATGTGAACTTTGAAAATAGGTCTTTCAGAAGCCAAAGAGAGGAAAGGGCAGTTCTCCACTTCATGATCATCTGCAGAGATGATATTCAGCAGGTTCTGGCCAGTTCTGGAGAACCAGGAGCGGAAATTTTGAGTAGTTTGAAGAACCGGCAAATACCACCTCTGACTGGCCCCACCCACCTCTATTCTCTGCCTCCCTTTGAGTTCCAGCTGAGTGGCTGGGTCTCCTTTGGTTGCCCTGCCCAGGAGAACGGAGCTGGAAAGCAGGTTAGTGGGGTGGGGAGGGAATTCGGAATTTGCAGTATCCTTCCCCTGCTACGTCCACTAAGCCACGCCAAGCCCACTAAGCCACGCCCACAGAACAGGTAGTAAAAAAACCTGAATCCTACCACTGATCATCTGGGAATGTTCTGAATCATGAAGGTGACTCATGTTAAACTCCCTTTTTTGTATTTCTTAGCCAGTCCCCGATGGCTTTCTCTGCATTCATACCTCATGTTGGCTGTGTGGATACGTCAGTCTGGGAATACTGGAAGCAGCGAAGAGCAAGTGGAAAGAAACTGGGAGGAAGGGCAAGTATCTCATCAGCTGAAAGCTCTGGCTGCACAGGATTGCCTTGCCCAGCAGATCAGAGAAGCCAAGCCACTCCAAAGCCAAGCAGACCGAGTCCAAGCTGGAATCCTTCACCTTCATATTGAGGAAGTTATCGTACAAGCCCTGCAAGAAACAGGGCCGAGGTGAAGCCAGCAACAACAGAAGAGTCCGAGACGAGGCCAGACCGTTGGGTAGATGGGATCTAGGACAATTAACCACTCGCTCCGCCACGGGCATTGATTCTTGGCTGCCCTCTGCCAGTGCCCCTCCCCCGCCAATGGTCCGCCGACACTCCAACGCAACCACCTCCTGGGTGATTTGTCCAAGGATCCTTGTCCCCAGCCAGCCCACAGCGCAGGACAAGCCATGGTTTGCTCTCGAGGAAGAGGCATGATAAACGGGAAGGACCCCTTCTTGGAAAAGGAACTCTCACCCATGCCCCCATAGCTTCCCCGACCGAGCACATTCTCTGCAATTGCAGTCAGTGAAAATAACTACCATGCAATCCCAGAAAAGGAATGCATTAGCCTCTTTAAAAGAAAGACCTTTTCTTGTAATAAAAGCATCAACCCCTAATCCTAACCTGCAGTGCAATTATTCTCCCAATCAATAAGTTTTCTTTGATGTGATTAGGATGATGTTTCAATGGATTCCAGTATCAGCCATCTCCCCCTCTCCCGCCTTTCCCTTTCTCTTCCCCCTCTCCCACATTTCCCTCCTCCCCAAACAAGGTCATCTCTTTTTTAAAAACAAGGACCGGAAGAGTCAAGATTCATCATGTTTTCGAAACAAAGTGCTTTTCTCTACAATAAAAGGTGTTTATCCCAAAGTCATTATTATTGTTAGGCAAACCAGGGATGTGCGGTTACTTCTTCTGCGCTGTGGATTGGCTGGGGACAAGGATCCCTCGGCAAATCGCCCAGGACGTGGCTGCGTTGGAGGAGTGCTGGCAGACCATTCATTCACTCATTCATACCATTGGCAGGAAAGGGGTGCTGGCAGAGGGCAGCCGAGAACCAATGCCTGCGATGGGTCGGCTGTGGTGGAGTGAAACGGGTGCAGCCATGTTCCACCGGTTAATTGCCGCATTCCAATCTAGACGGTGGTCCCTCTTCTCAATCGCCACAAATAGTCAAATTATTGCCACACAAGGTGGGATAAAGAGATGCAGACTCTGGTGTTCAAATATGTCTGGGTTTCTAGATTCTGTAAGAGCTGAATTTGATCCTGTAACAGCTTCTTTTGCATCTTCCCATAAAAGCAACATATTTGAGCTTCTTCCCTGCAGAATCTGTTGCTAGCTCAGGGGGGTTTCCCCTCTCGGATAGGAAATGGAGTCCTGTCTCTGAGCAGGACTCTCTCCTGAGGAGGCCGCTCAGAGATGACCCCCACCCCCACGGCTGGTCAACAGACAGCAGGACAATTTTGCATGGACTGAACTCAACAGGCCTTTCAAGATTGGGAAAGAAGAACACAGAAGAACTGTGTTTATTGGTTGATTTGCCTTTGAAAACCTGGCTCTAAGATACCAGCCGCTGAAAAATATATATATATATATATATTTGGGGGGGGGGGGGGGTACAAAGGTCATGTTATTTCATGCTTTAATTTTTTTGTGTGTGAAAATCTTTAATAAATCTCTCCTTCTCTCCCTCTCAAGATGAGTCAACAGAGCTCTTTCAGCAACCAAACGTAATTGTGAGATGGGGAGACAGGTTTCAATCAAGGAAATGAACTTAATCTAAACAATGGTAGGTACCTGGCTAAGCTTTTCATATTCCCCTGAAGAAACACTGAGGTGCAAAATGCGATGGAACTGCTGAGTGGAGGAACTGATGGCTGTCTGACCTGTGCCTCTGCCAAACTCCCCATCCTCAGCTCCACTAAGGAGAAGCCTGGCTGGAAGGGAAGGGTCTGTTCCCAAGTTCTTCCTTGGCAAGGAAAAGAAAGCAATAAGACAGAGGTTGGTTTCTTTGGGAGGAGCAAAGAAAAGATAGTAAGTGACATTTCGAGGCTATTTAAGCTAAGGAACAGATAAAGGGCAGTCAATATCTTAAATAATGAATGAGTGCTTTACTTTAGTAAAGTGGGGAAGCTGGAAGAGAAACCCCAAAGCCTGTCCTCTGCATAATGAAAGTTTGAATACAGAATTATCTGCTCCCCAAGGCCTGTTAGCTGTGGCATGTTCATGTCTGGCACCTCATTAGAAAAGTGCCCTCACACTGCACACAGAAGAAAGAGCAGGGCGAGAGCCTTGGCTTGAAGGATGCAGATCCAATTATCCAGTGACACAATAAGCAACCTCCTTAATCATTTGTGTCTCATTTAAAGCCAAGTTGTATTTAGCTTTCTTCAAATATCATAATAAAATGCATTCAATCTTTCTCTCTCTATCTCTCTGTATCTCTCTCTCGTCCCTCTGCACAAATGAGGGTACTTGATGAATTCCTGTGCAATTAATTTAGTGCAGCATACAAGCAGTTATCCCATGCCATGCCATGCTGATTTAGGCACTTTTGTTTTAAAACTTGAGATCTGTATTGGACAGCTCTGGATACAAACTTGAAAAACTTCAGCAAAACCTGTTCCACGGGCCTCAGAAACAATGATTAAGAAAGAATGTCAAAGTATTAAAGAATGTTTCAGAGAATTAAGATTTTAAAAAGCAAGTTTTGCAAATAACAGCCCACTAAAAACTGGAGGCATGACTGGGTTTGCTTTGATCTGTATGGATAATAAAATTCGACTCTTTCTGATGGTGGTTCTTATTTGTTCCCCGGCAGTAAAGGGTGATTTATCTTTTGCCTCTTCCACGCTTACTCCAATTACCACCCTGGCAAGGTAGGTTGAGCTGGAAGAGCACAACTGGCTCAGGGCCGCTTCAATGAGGTTGTAGGGCTGAAGAGGGTCTTTTTGGTCTCGAGGTCAAACTTCTTAACCAGCACACAATGGTTGCAATTTGTGCAATTGGTTGAGTGAGACCCAAGAGCAATTCTTTCTCACCTCCTCACTCTGGGCAGCTGGAAGATCTCCTGCCAGATGGAAAACAGCCCTTTGTTCTGGTCCTTTAAGCCAACTGTTGCAGTCTGGACTGTCCTCACATTCAGCTCTTTCTTCCCTCGGCTATACAGGAACTTGAATAAGAGGAGACTGGGTCACATGGGGTGGAGTGGAGAAGGGAAGGAAAGCGTCAGATTCTGATCAAGACCAGCTTAGCTCAGGAAGAACCTGAGCAAGCAAGAGACACCAAATCCATCTGTCTGAGAATCTTTCACCAAACAGGCAAACTTCTATCCCTTATGGATGCGCAGCCAAGCTGGAGTTCTGCGCCTTTCTTTTAGAGCTGCATATCTGGTTCTCAAGCAGCACATTTTTTATTGTGACCCAACAATATCATGGTAGTGAAGTGTTTTTGCATAACTTTTTAAACATGAAGGTATGAGCATGGTGATCAAATAATAAGAGCATTTGTATGGCATTAATCCCTGTTTTCAACGTACAAGATGGGGGAAAACGGAATCTGCCAACAATGCAACTAACCTGCAGAGTGTTAATACAAGAGCGAATGTCATTGTCGGTCTTCTCACACAATGTTGTGAGTGCCCCAATATCAGCTTTCATGCCCTGTAGGATGGCAATCTGAAATGCATAAGGATGGGCGTTATGCTGCTGCCCAGATGGCCTTGCATACACAAAATGTATGAGCGATGTTGTTTTATTACAGTAATTAGCATAAGAAGAAGTAATTAGCAAAATCCGTACTATTGCTTGGAGCAAAAAACCTTTAGATCAATATTGTTTTTATCTAGCTTTTGAACATTAAGAGTGACAGTAAGTCAATCTTCTAAGCTGGAGAGCCATCAATGAGACGCCCCTTCTGACATCACCGGCCACAGAAGGATCAAAGAACCTTCCTTCCATGGGACTAAACAAGCAGGTAGGAACCAGGTATATTCTGCAACTGGCAGAGACCAGGGGGTTTGCAGGCTAAAAGGGAAAATAACTTAAGCAATTATTCCCAGGCTTTTCTGTACTGATAGTCCTGGACTTACAGCCATTCATTCAGTGACTCTTCAGAGTTACAATGGCACTGAAAAAAGTGACATGACCATTTTTCACACTTACGACTGTTGCAGCATCCCCACAGTCACGTGATCAAAATTCAGATGCTTGACAACTGGTTCATATTGATGATGGCTGCTGCAGTGTCCCAGAGTCGTGGGGTGATCAACAAGGTCAGTGGGGAAGCCAGATTCACTAAACAATGTTACTAATCTAACAGTTGCAATGACTCCCTTAACTGCGGCACGAAAGGTTTTAAAAAGGGAGCAAAACTCACTTAAGAACAGTCTCATTTAGTAACAGAAATGTTGGGCTCAATTGTGGTTGAAGACTACTGGGTCCTGTCCTGGGCAAAGGCCAAGCTGATCTACCTTTTGATGCTTACTCATACAATATTCTTATGGCAGAGATAATGCTCACAAAGAAGGGAAATAAAAAACCATGGGGGGGTTGGGTGTGCTTGCCTCATGAAGCCTCTGGACCAGCCTAGATTGCAGAGTTGAAGGAAAGTGGAGAAGAAAAGCTTGCTGCTTCAGAAGCCGCAAAGCAGGAACGTATCTAGAAAACAGAAGGGAAAATATGCACAGATGAAAAGATATGAAAATATCCAGAACAGAGGAATGGCTTGTCAAATAACAGTATCTGACAAATGGTAAAAATGATTTTTTGATTAAGGAAAAGACACTTGTGACCAGAAACCCATGTATGGCCTTTTTGCTGAAAATGGAAAAAAAATGAACTGGTTATTTATAGATTTGATGATTAGAAAGGATAAAATATGGGAAGAAGGGAATCACGATGTAATGTTAAAGAGGAAGAACAGACAATAATCGGTTGTAAAGAGGATTGGAAGCTGTTTATTCTTTTTCCCCCTCTTTTTTCTTTATTCATCACTTTTCTTTCTCTTTTTTATTTTTCTTAACATTGTATTGTTTTTACCATGGCCCAAAATTCATCAATAAAATGTGATAATTGGCATAACTGCAGATGTGGGGATGTTGTCCTGGGATCTGGGAGAAAGAAAGCTCCAGGCCACTCAGTGGGGAGTTGATGGGATGATCTAGGGCCAGTTTTCTCTCAGCCCATCCTAATTCAAAAATACGTCATGGGAACAAAATGTGTGTTATTGGGGGTCTCCTGAGGAAATATTTGTATTTATTTGAGTCTACTTGTGACTCTTAGTGACTACCTGGACTGGTTCCTTTGGCCATGTTTTTCAGAAGTGGCTTTGCCATTGCCTCCTTCTTAGGGCTGAGAGAAAGCAACTGGCCCAAGGTTCCCTGCTGGCGTTGCACTCCAGGTGGGACAAGAACTCACAGTCTCCCAGTTTCAAGTCTGGTGCCTTCACCAGGACACCCAACGGTCTCTCTAACCTAGAGGAAAATAGGGTGCAAATGTTGCAACAACCATCAACCAGCTCCACTTCCTCAGAACCACACCACTGAAGAAGACGTTCTCCCGAGAACAAAGAAATCAGCAGGGAATCAGGGTGATTGGGCAACAGGCAAGAGCTCCCATAAAATAAGGGAGAAGGGGTTTGAAATAAAATGTTCAGACAGATTTAATAAATGGGAGATTTATCCTATCAAGGTTAATTATCCTTGAAAGCCTGCCAAGTTTTTGATGAAAATCCCACAGTGTTTTGCTTCCTTTCTCTTGCACCCGATACAGATCCTCTTCCAAACACAATCTCTTACAGGTCATTGCAAATGCAGATGATTGGCCGGAGAAGAAGCCCGCTTCGTCCTTTGCTCTTTGCCCCACTTGGTTGGACTTCAGATTCTGCCATCCCAGCTTTCTGGTTGGTTATACTTAACAGCACATTGATAGATGCCTGAAAAGACAAAAGGGCCAAAATAATTGCAGGGATAGTACATGGGGCCAGAAAACCCTGAGAAGGGTCATTCTGAATCAATCCAGTTGAACACGGCATCATTAGCCAGTCATATCACAAGCCAGAAGGTAGACCTAAAGCTCCCCAGAGGATATCCTACGCCACTGGACTATGGAGGCTGTTTCATCTGCCATAGTTTCTACCCATAAAATCATAGGGTTGGAAAGGATCTTGGAGGTCTTCCAGTCCAATGCCTTTTCCCAAGAAGGAGACCCTAAGCCATTCCGGATGAATGGTGGTCCAGTCTTTTCTTCAGTGACCTCCAGTGATGGAGCACCCGCAATTCCAGGAGGCAACCTTTTCTACAGAACAATTGTTCTCACTGTCAGGAAATTTCTCTTTAGTTCTAGGTTGGATCTCTCTTTAAACAGCTCCCACCCATTACTTCTTGTCCTGCCCTCAGGTACTTTGGAGAGTAAGTCAACTCCTTCCTCCATGTGACTGCTCCTCAAACACCATAAGACAGTTATCATGTCACCCCTCACCCATCCTTGACTAGATGTATCTAGTTCCCTCAGTCATCCATCATGTGGTTTAGCCTCCAAACCCCTCAACAAGTCATCTTTGTTGCTCTTCTCTGCAGTCCACCTAGGGTCTTAGCATTTGTTTTTTGTATTATGGTGGCCAGAATTGGACAAAATGGTTTAATATATTTCTAAACAGGCTGCAGATAGCATGCTTCGCTATTGCCTGTACTGTTCCTTTAACATATCATAAAATATCCATTTAAATAAATATTCTTTTGGGCATTTTTTTCATATATTGGATGATGGACCCACCAATATGCCGCCAATCTCCCACATGTGGTATAAGTAGTCCTTGCTTAATGACCATTCGCTTTAAAACCATTTGAAATTATGACACCGAATGTGTGCTTTATGGCCTGTAAAGCCCCAGGGGCCACCATCAATGGCTGTGCCTTCTTGCAGTCATGTGACTACAGGCTGGTCTCAGCATTCCATTGTCACCCAAATTCACAATGTTTTTTGCCTGTTCCAGCAAAAAACGCCAATTCAAATGAATAGATTTGCTTAACACTGCAAATAGCCAGCCCTCATTTAGTATCTATTTCTGTTAGCAACTGTTTGCAAGCATGACAGTAATAAACATACCTGTGTTTCCCAGAAAATAAGTCTGGGTCTTATATTAATTTTCCTTCCAAAGGTCTTAGGTCTTATTACCCAGGCAGGTCTTATTTTCCAGGAAATACAATACTAAGTACATCCGTCCAGGGGTGGGTTTCTACCGGTTCTGTCCACCTCTGTAGAACCGGTAGCTCTGAAGAGCAGCAGACATAGAACCGGTTCTATGTCTGCTGATGTTTTTGCCCACCCACCTACCCGGGCTGTTACCTGATCTTTATTTCCTGATTTTTCAACTTCAGCTGCTGCTCACAGCCAGCAGGGAAGCTCGTAAATCCCGAACCAGTTGTTAACCCTGTCGTATCCCACCCCTGCATCCGTCTGACTGACGATCTCAACTGAGGCTTATTTTGGGGGTAGGGCTTATATTATGAGCATCCTGAAAAATCATGCTAAGTCTTATTTTCCAGTTGGGTCTTATTTTCAGGGAAACCCGGTAATAAAAATGATTTCGGATACACTTATGCCCAGATTTCTGTGCCTGATAGCAACACATGCCTTAGTGGGAGCGTTGCTTCACGAGAACTTTATGTAAACGAGACAGCAGCAACCAGCAATCTTCAGTGTCACTCAGTCATGGGGTTTGCTTAGCAACGACTGGAACCAACTGCAGTTGCCAAAGGAGGACAGAGTATACTCCATTTGAATACCGGAACACAATGTCTGTGTGTGGAATACTCAAAACCATTTCATCCTAACAAGCAAGGGAAGGAAAATGGAAAACCCCAGGTGGGCCACATCTAGGACCTAAGCGGGAGAGCAAATGCATCCACATGGAGGATAAAGCCTCTCTTTTAAAAAAGATTCACCAAAATTGTAAAAATGGAGGAAGCGATTGAAAAGACTACCGTATTTGCCGGCGTATAAGACGACTGGGCGTATAAGACGACCCCCCAACATTTCCACTCAAAATATAGAGTTTGTTATATACTCGCCGTATAAGACTACCCCCTCTTCCACACACCTTCCACTTTTGCACTTTTTTTTTTTTGACGCACTTTTCTGCTTTGGACAATTTTGAAATGAGCTAATCCAATTTTGAACCAAGAATATGCAAATAGCTATGGAGTTTAGAAATGAGTTTTAAAAATATTTTTCATTGCTTACCATTAAGCGTAAAATATGTTGTAAATAAAATGAGAACACAGGAAACGTTCTCTTCTCAATACAGCTGATCTCTCTCTCTCTCTCTCTCTCTCACACACACACACAACCAAAAACCCGGACACTGAAAAGGCTGCCAAGGAACAGTATATTCAATGCCTTCTCTTTAATCTTTTTTTTTCCCCAAGTGGCCCTCTTTAAAAAAAAATATGGAGGTAACACTTTCATTCAAAAAGTCTTCCAGTATCTGGAGTCGCTCAGACATATTGAAGTGAGGCAGGAGAGTAAGTGAAATTTGAAATGATCCAGCTACCGTTTTCTTCCCCTCCCGCCCGAAGGCCATTATCTCCACGTCAAAACGAACGAGGGGAGGCAAAGAAGCCAAACACGCTAAAAAGGATCTCTTTATTTTCCTACACAAGGTCACACCTACTTTTCCGCATTCAAAGGACAACCTCTCCTCACCACCACCACACACACACACACCCCAATACCCGCAAACAATGTTCTGGGCATTAATCACCATTGCTACATTAACCTGGTAAATTTATACCCTGCCTCCCCCAGTGTTGCTTTGACGGCAGGATTTCACACAGCGGGGCGCTCGCTCGCTCTCTTCTCCGCTCTCCCACCGTTCGCACATGTTGGAAGCACCGTAAAACCTGATAACCCACCCGGGGACTCCCCCATCCTTAACCTACAGCCGCGCGCACACACACACACACCCCCCCCCCCCCCCCCCCCCAGCCTCCCTCCCGGCTGCAACTCAAGCTCGAAGTGGGAGTCGGAGTCCTCCCGGCGTATAAGACGACCCCCCCACTTGGAGGCATGTTTTTCAGGGCAAAAAAGTCGTCTTATACGCCGGCAAATACGGTAGATGTGTTTATCCTTGAGAGGAGAATGTGGAAGGACCAAAATTATTTCAAAGGGACTCACAGAGAAGGTGAAGCTCTCACATCATTAGGGTTGACTCAGCCTTCCATCCTTCCTAGGTGGGTAAAAGGAGGACCCAGATTGATGTGAGTAAGAAGACTGACACTGTAAACCTCCTAGAGTGGGCTGGAAAGCACTGTGCAGCGGTATATAAGTATATAATTGCTAAGTGCTATTAATTGCAGAATACAGAAGAACTGACTGATGAATCAGCCAAGATTCCCTTACCATTGGAGCACCGTCTATCTCATCAATGACCAAGCAGTTGGGCTTCTCACTGGCCCCCAGCACCGATTTCATCTGAGTGGCAGCCTCAATCTGTGTTTGGAAGGCATCTGGGCTACGGTCATCACTGCAAAAAACATTCTGGGTTAAAGATAATGAAGAAGCTGCCACAATCTCAGAAAGAGGCTTCGTGCAGCTAGTGGTTGCCTCCTGAAAAGTCAGGCTGGAGGTGGCTTGTCAGCAGCAGGAGTAAGAAGATGCTGAGCACAGGGCACATGGAGTTCTGAGCAGCAAGCACAACTGCAGATGTTTTGCATCTAGTCCTGGTTCAGGGCAGCCATGGCTTCCACTGCAGTGTTTGGGTGGGGCAGCTTTTCCCTTCCGTTATGTGAAAATCCTCCTAAGGGAAGCAATGCTGTGTTCCCTACTCTTTGGGTGTATGTTGGCTGGATGTCCAGAGTGCGGTTTGCAGCTTGCTTGCCTTCGGCTGCCATAGAAATAGTGAGGAGGGGGGGTTGGCATTTGGGGTGTGAAAGTGAGCTGGTGTGAAGTATTCCTGTGAGAATTGGAAGGGAGGTTTGCACTCATCAATGGAGAGGAGTTGTTTGGCCTTTTCCATGGCCAGCCATCCTGGGCCTCTGGAGGCACACAGCATCCCATCTCATCCCACTGGACGCTGATTGGTCTTTCAGGGCTGGACCCAGGAAGGAGGGGTTTGGGGTGACTTTCAAGCCGATTTCTCCCTTGCCTTGCTTTTGCTGCTTTCCGTTCATTAAAAGTGAGTAAAAGTACCCCTTCTCTTCATCTGTGGACGCAGGGCCTTTTTTCCTTAGGATTTGAATGGAGGCAGACCTGACAGGATCTATTTATCAACCTCAAAAGAGGAGAGCAGGTGCTCGCATGGATACCTGGCAGACCTGAGGGAAGGCAGTGCCTGTGCGCAGTCAAATCAGAGATCAACACCCCACAGAAAAGAAACAGAAGCCTGGGTTTGATTTGAGTTTAAGTGTTTAGATTCTTTTTATCTATTAAGCATGTTCCAGCACTCACCACTTTCTTGTCTAGCGGTTCTGTCTGACTTACATTAACATTGAAAAAAGGGAACTACGACTTACCTGGCATTCATTTCCACCACATTATATCCAGCATGCTTTGCAATGACGTGAGCCAGAGTAGTCTTCCCCAAGCCAGGTGGTCCACAAAGGAGAGCAATCTACAGGCAGAACAAAAATGATTTAAACTCATGATTTAAAGGGTCTCCAAAACTTATTGCTGCTCAGTATGGTGTAAAAAAACCAACAGTTCGGAGGGGGAAGGGTTGAGTAAAGAAGCCTTTATAGTCCTCGATGCCCAGGGGCATTACTCATATAGAGACAGAAGGCGGGAGACACAGAAATACATCTGCAATAGGTGTGAAAGTTGATACCATGTGCCCTAAACTAAAAGCTATCAGTTTTTAGGGGGAACAGTTTGTGGAACAATTTAAAATTTCCAAAAGAACAAATGGGTTGGCAGAAGGCAAAAAAGCAAAAAGTGGTGAGATGACAATGGAGAAGAATCTTTAATCTTATGTCAAGGTAAAGAAAAAAGAAAGCAGCACCCAACCAGCAGTACCAAATCTCATTGACACCCAAAAATTAAGGGCCCCACAGTCCCTTATTTTCTTATGCAGGGAGGGGATGAAGCCATTTCCAAGGGTCTCCTTTGTGAGGAGATTTTCTGCCTGGCTTGGAGGCTGAGACAGATGCGAAGTGGAAGAGCAGCAGTAAAATGTGCCAATGAGACAACACTGGATGTGCAAGCTTCTGTTTGATGTGTATCTGAAAAAACCCACTGAATCTGGAATTCAGATCTAACTTTTGCTGCGAGTTCACCGCTCCTTGGCAACTTTCAGCTTGCAAGATAGGAATTCTTGTCAAGAATGGATAAGCTTAAAATGACTGACAAAGATTGGGCTTTCAACTGAGTCTTTGCCACAGTGACCAGCTTCCCCACCTTGAATTTTGGTCGATTGTGCTGGTCCAGTTCAGCCTCCAAGACTTCCTCTGTCACCTGTGCTTTGGTCTTCCACCTGGTTCCCCCCTCTCTGGAAGGCTTGAAAGGAGGGTGGGTCCCAGAGTGCAGTGGGGCCTTCCTGCAGGGCTTCTCCTTCCCAAACACCAGCACATCCCACAGCTTCAGCCACTTCAGGAGGCACCGATTTGTGTACTGAAGTCAAAGGGGATGAAGGTGAATGAAGTGGATGAAACTCCAGGGACACACAAATCACATCACAAACCAGACCGAACTATTCAAGCATGACACACCTTGTTTTGGTGGCTTGTGACCTTTTTACTCTTTCTACACTCAAAGAAATATTGAAAAAATAATAATACATGGGACTCGTCCATCTTTCTGTCAGCAGGACAGTTCTCCAAAAACAGATCAGAAAGAGACCAATTTTGGCCAGTGAGGTAAAAGGAAGATACCAACTAAGACATGTATGCTGCCTGCAGTGTGTTTCTCAAGAGTTATACATGTGACACAGAAACAGCCTGAAAGTCTACACATATGCACATGCACAACACATTGTGACCCAGAAAAAACAACAACCAGAGCCTACCAGTCGTCACTGCAAGTGAAAGCCTTGGAGGGAAATGGCAGGCTAGGCATATCTCATTTAAATTTGATGTGTGATTCAAAATTGTCTGCTTTCATAAGTAGAAAACAATCTGGTTCACCTCTGACATTGCAATCAGCATTGTTTTCTTTGTTCTGGGAGCTCTGCAAAGCTCTGAAGAAACAATTTCCTACTGAAGCAAATTACACTGTCCTTTTAAAATTTTCTTTTGGTTCTGAATGTCCACATTAGTGATTCCCACCCTGGAAAATTTCAACTCCCAGAATTCTCAACCATGGCCATGCCGGCTACACTCACATTCCTGGAAACTGCCTAAATGGGAGAATGTCGGTCTAAACATTTAATTACTACAAGAAACTTAAGTAGGAGGAAGAAAAATGGTGATGAGGAAATGCCTCCTGTTATGAGCTCTCTTGACTGCTTCTATTGCTTTATTTTATACTATTCCATTTTGCTTTTACTTTGCTCGTTTTTTAATCTTAATTTTTAAAATTCCAAACCGCTTGCCTGAACCTTCTGACACATATAGCATTTCAGACTAAAGGACACACACTGAACATGTGGGGGAGGAAGAAAAGTCAGGCTGTCATTCTGCCTTTCCATCTGCCTGCTTCATCCAACCCCTTAAACAGCTGGAAGTAAAGCAATTCAGTCCAAGCAAGCAAGTTGGGTCTGTGAGCAATGCTCCTCCTCCCCTGGATACATTGGTTCCTTGGTACTCAACTGCTTTGAAATTAATCAAATTTGGTATTCAACGCCTTTTGACGTGAAAACTTGGCTCCCAGTACTCAGTGCACAAGATAGAACCTGTCGGTATTGGCTACTTTGCGACTCACTGTGTTATCTCTTTTGGGAAACATTGTTTGGTACCCATCATGCCTCCTGGACCCAATTAAGGATGAGTACTTTGGAGCGGGATCTCTAGGGAGAGATCAAAAGCCAACAACCTTTTTAAGAGGACATCCTCCTCCTCCTCCCACCCCCACGCCCCCGTCCTGCCCCGTCCCAGCAGCAGCACAGCCCCGGCTATAAGAATACACTCACCTGTATGTTATGTGGAAGGCTACCTTACCTTACGGTTTCCATCGTCTGGCACTCCAGAGACACTAAATGGGATGCTGCAGGTTTCCAACTGCCCTCCCAAATATACAACTGCAATCTCCATATTGTGGGAAGGAAACATATTCTTTGCATCTACCCCTACTACACCTTTCACTCTGAGAAACTCAACTGAGAGCTTCCTACCTAGATCAAATTGAGGTCAGCTTCTGGGATCATCTTACTTGATAATTTTATTATTTGTTACATCCCAATACTCTGTACTACTTTATTTGATATGGTCTTTAGACTAATCACTGAACTAAACTAAACACATGAAGCCTAAGGGAAATATGCAATTCAACAAAAACACCGGGCCTCTCTTGGAGAACAGTACACCCAACTTGCCTTCTTGCACTACAACATGTCTAGGGATGCAACATTGCCAGACATCCTGTCAGGCCCATGCCTGTCAGGCTGACTAGCATAGCCAAAGGTGAGCAGTACAGAACTGTAGTCCCAAAAGATATGCGGAGCTTCCAGCTACCTACTCCTGATCTCTAGGATGCCCAAAAGGAAACACTTACATCATCACTGAGCAACTCCACATAGCGCCTGGGAGTGAACTGGTCAACCCAGAGAGACTGCTGGGCAGATGCTTCTGCTTCCGATCTCTCCCTGCGTTCTTCTTCCCCATTAGGCCCAGGGGCTGCATCTTGAGTTTCCTCAGCCCCCAGCCTGAAAGGAGGAGAATCTAGCTGAAAAATAGTGTCTGGGAAACGTTCAGTGTCAAATTCTGCTCCAAGTTGGCTGTTAAAGGGCTTTAAACCCAATTTTTCTGTATCTCAAGTTTTAATCTGGTCAGTTAATTTTTGTTTTTATCAAAAACAACTTTGAAATACTGGAATTTGGTGGTATAAAATGCAGAAAAGAAAAAAAAATGCTATCTTCGATCTATATAACCTTCTCAATTAAGGCATCTCATTTTGCATAATGCATCCTTATCTTGCTAATCAAGACAAAGAACATAGCAGCTGATTGGACAATCTTGCAGACTCCTTTTGATTTCAGAGGTTTTAACCCAAGTGTTCAAGCAGCTGCCAAGTTAAGGAAATCCTGTGAACCTGTGCTTCTAAAAATAAGGAAGAGGCATTAAGGACAGTTTTCTAATTCATGCACAGTTGTGGTTAAAGCAAGAAGCATGCCTCTGAATGGTCCAGCACTGTCCAAGAAATCTCCCATAAAACGTATAAAAAGACAACCTGGGCAACTTTCATCTAGAGGTAAATTTCAGCATCATCTCATAGGGCTGAATTTCTTTCAAAGGGAGAAACACATAATTTCCCACAGCAAGGACAAAAATGAGATGATTAAATTGATTGTGCCATTCAAAGAAAATAACATATCTAATTTTGTTTCCATTTGGAAACCACTTCTGGATTTTTTTTTAGACTATTCTTTATTGGGCAAATGTGATTGGACACACAAGAAATTTGTCTCCAGTGCATAAGCTCTCGGTATACATACAAGCAACAAAGTGATAAATCATAAGATTCAACCAACTAGTAATAGTCCTAAGATACCAATAGGAGTACGTAATAGGAACTGTGAGAAGGATAATAGTAATACAATCCTACTACAGCACTGACAGAATTAGGTGTTCAGCAGAGTGATGGCACAAGGGGAAAAAATTGTCTACTTGTTTTGGCACGGAATGTCCTATAGCAGCGTCCTGAGGGGAGGAGATAAAATAGTTTATGTCCAGGATGTGAGGGGTCTGTAGATATTTCCTCAGCCCTCCGTCTGGTTTATGCAGTATATGGCTCCTCAGTGGAGGGCAGGCTGGTTGTGGTTGATTTTTCTGCAGTCCTAACGATCTGTTGACGTCTATACCTGTCCTATTTAGTTGCTATACCAAACCAGACAATTACTGAAGCACAAATGACAGACTCAATAATTCCTCTGTAGAATTACTGGGTCTGTCATTTGTACGCACAGCAACCAAACAGGACAGGTGCTTGTGATGGGGAAAAAAATGAAACTTTGGTTTTGCTGACTAGATAGGATTGTTATAGAAATGGCGAGTACATATTATCGTTGAGGCTGTAATGTTATTATCTTCTACTGTGATTAAAGAGAGTCAGAAGTTAATACCTTTTTTTTCTTTTTCCCCTTCCACCCCACCCTTTCTTCCCCTAGTTTCCAATTATTTTCATTTTCTTTGTATTTTATATTCTGATAAACTAATAAAAAATTTAAAGCAGGATGTTTACCCCATAGACTGCCTGTTGAAAGAGCCAATAAGCAGCAGCTGGAAAAGGGAAGTTGGAAATTCCAGAAGGCTGGAAGTACATAATTAAAGATCCTCTTGAGTTAAGCTCAACTCCTGGAAGCTACATGGACACACCTGTACATTTGTTTCGCAACATTATGAAAGTGGTTTGCTACTGATGTCTTCCTGGAATGCTTGTCATCCTTCCGGTCTAGCCAGAGCTCTGGGATTTCCTCTTGAGTCTCTTATCCAAGTACTAATCATCTACCTTTTCCTTGAGATCACCTCAGGTTAAAGCTGTTCAGGTTTTAATATAATATTTAATATAATACTTCATTGAAACATCATGGAACATACTGTGTGAACCCAAAAAGTCACTCCCAAGTTAGTTATCCATAGGGTAACTAACATCCTGAAAAGCCAGGCATGAGTTCAGTGAAAGTGCCTGAAGTTTACCTTGGAAAAAGTAACTTTTCTTCTCAAGCTTAGAATTCATTTACATTTTAAAAAAAGTAAAAAAGAGGAAAGCTACTACCAGACCCTAACCCATGAAACTAAAAGCACCACTTAAATACTTAAAAAAGAACTTTGACTTATATCATGGTGTTCTCTAGAAGCGTCAGGAGTTGAGAGCCCAAAATAGCTGGAAAGCATCAGGTCATGAAAGCTGAGTGACTGCGATACAGACCAAGGCTCTCCTCCCAGGGCAAAGGGATTCCCTGGGCCACCAGAAGAGGAGCTATGAAGCTTACCTGCTCAGCACTTCCATCAGCTGCTCCGAAGACTCAAGGATCTGCTTCTGGCGCTGAAATATAGAGGATAAAAAAAACTACATGCTGGCTTTGTGAAAGGTGAAAACTCAATCCCTTACAAAATAAGAAACTGAGAGACTTATCCTCCATGATCGAAATGTCACATCTTCATTATAGAACAGAACTGGTTATCTAAACAGGGATCTCATCCGGATACTATAGGAGTAACAGTTTTCAAATATTCTATCGCTGAATTTGTATGCAACAAAAGCTCTCTCTCTGTGTTCCTTTGGCCACCACGTTTGGAGACCTTGTATGAAGCCATATATCTTTGGTGTAAAATCTGATTGCAAGATATTGGTTAATAAAGACAATTTGAATTGTGGCTCCAGGCTTGTTCCAAGTGTTCCCAGTTCAAATGTAATAGAAAAATCATATTTAATCAAAACTAGGAAGTCTTCAAGCTGAGTATGCCAAGAAATGGAAGAATGAATTGCATGGGGGGAAAAACTAACAGAGTCAATGCAAAGAGCTTGTAATGTAATGTCCAGCATTTGGACTCTGACCCGAGGCCAGGAGAACTGGCACAAAGTTCTTTAGAAGAGGGTTTAAAAAAAACAAACAGCGCTTCCCAGAACCTTAGGATTCCATTAGGATGGGTTTTTGTGGGATCTTAAGGGCAAAACGGATGCACCAGGGCACCTGCAGCAATTTTTTCTAGGGAAAAGCAATCATGTCACATTCATTGAATATACGCTTGTTTAGTAAAACACTGATCTCCAAAATAATTGGGAAATACAAATTGTAACTTTTGTACATTTGCAATATTAATTTTACAAATACAACAGCTTTACTTTATACTTATATACTGGGGAAATTTTGTGGGATAGTAATTGGATAATCAATTTTACAAATTTCAAATAACTTCAAATTATTAGGCAAACACATATTGTTTATCTTTATTTTTAAAATAAATATTAAAGGATTATATTTGAAATGATTGAAATGAAACAAAAAGATGTTTCGATTAAGATTAATGAAAGAGGCTAGAATTAATGTGTTTGTTTCTCTCCTTACTGAAAATTTGGAATGGAAAAGGTAATAATAGAATTAAGTATGCATACGAATGTATAATTGTTGTCATATTTGTATGTAAAGGTGATGACCCAGAAATATGTTGTCCACTAAAAAGAGATTTTTGTTTTTAATGTGAAAAACTGAATAAAATTTGTTTTAAAAAAATTACATTTTTATCCTCAGCAAGTCTTATTAAAAAGGAGAATTTCTCATCATCCTTGGGTGGATAGCCACAAACATTAACATACCAAGTAGATTCCTTTGGACCCACCTTCATGTTAAAGTCTCCCCAATCAGAATAGAAGCTAGAGGGTTCAATGCGATCCATTCTCCAATGAAATGAATTGTCAATTCCATTAATTGCCTATCTGCATCAGGTATAAATAGCAACTATGTAGATATTAAGTAAGAGAACCCATAACACTCACATTGCAGTAAAACTGCTTTTGACATGCAGGATTAAGTTACCTGACAAGGAGCATTTTATTGCCAGTTTTCTAACACTAGATTTTGTCTCATGGTTATAGGATTTTTTGCTTGAAACTAACAAGTTATACAATATGAAAAAGCTTTAAAATATCTGCCTTCCTGCAGTGTTTCTTAACCTCAGTGAAGTAGAAATGGAGGCCACACAAAGTCCCCTTGGGCTGTACATTGATTTTTAAGAAATAGCACTTTCGTCTATTTTTATTGATAGGAATAAGAACTAAGAACTGGTGTGTGTGTGTGTGTGTGTGTGTGTGTTTGCTTAAGTTTTCGCAGGTAGTTATATGTATGGTATTCAGCTTTGTTCGGGTATTTTCCCACGTCATTATAGTTGTGCTTTTAAAGTTGTAGCGACGTTTTGGCAGAATCTCATCTGCCATCATTAGGCTTGTGTATTGGGTTGTCTGTGTGTCAGGCTTTCACAGCCGTTTCTGTTTTAAATTTGGGGCTAGCCTCGTGCTGTGTTAGAATGGTTTTTTCTTTATCCTGACCTAGACTCCCAGCCAATCAGGATGAGAAAAAAACCATTCAAATAAAGCAGAAAGCCAGCACCAAATTCAAACAAAAACCAGCTGCCAAGCCTAACATACACAATTAAAAAGAACCCAATACACAAGCCTGAGGATGGCAGATGAGATTCTGCCGAAATGTCGGTATAATAAAAGCACAAATATTAAGACGTGGGAAAATACCTGAAGAAACCTAAATACCATACATAAACTTTAAAATGAGAAATGTCTTGTATATTGAATTGTTAAATTTATTTGATGCCTATCTCACCCTGCTGCCATTCTACCCACAGTTACAATCAGAACGAATATTGGCTGGCAATTATGGTAGCTAAATGGGGATGAAAATTAATTTAAATGGGGCTAAGATATATTAGGACAGTGATGGCTAACCTATGACACATGTGTCACTTGTGACATGCAGAGGCACTTTGACTGACACGCCTGTTGGTGTGGGGAAAACTTGCACATTTAGAGGCTGCCTGTGCTCTGCTCCAATCCCTGCTCCCTGCTTGTTGCGTGGAGGCGTGGTGTCACCGCTGCCGCAAGATCTTTGCAGCAGAGAACCAGTTTTAACCGCCATAAACTGAGGTTTGTCAGTTTCATTACCTCAGGAACGCTACAGGAGGAAAGGAGATCCATGAGGTTCACAGCCCTGTAAGGTGGCCTTCCGATCCCCACATCCTGCACCTGCAGCCGAGACCAGGGAGACGAGTTTCACAGCCCTGTGTGATCACCCCAGCCCAGTCCGTCATAAACCAAATTATTGATATTTCTTGAAGTGACACACGACCCGAGGAAGGCTACACTTTTTCCCGATTTTCGACACACCAAGCTGAAAAGGTTAGCCATCACTGTATTAGGAATTTATGCACCAATTGAAGATAAATTAACATTTTATAATGGATTTAAGGACAAATTAGTAGACTTATATGAAAATTGGTGCCTGAGGGAAGACTGGATGAGAGCCATCTGTCCACAAAATGACAGAACCTCTGCGAAAGTTATTGAGAATGTAAGGCAAACTACCAAAAATATTTTTTGGATATGATGGACATTCTAGAGCCTATGAAAATTGGGAGGCATAAAAATGGAAATTAAAAAAAAATACATTTCTTTTTTCTAAAAGGCCAGATCCTTTTTAAGAATTGATATGTTCCGCTGCTGTCCAGGAAAAAGACACAAGCTCGTTGCCTCAGCTTAACTGCAGCAGCAAGGGCAGTGCAGGAGGAGGGAATCCTGCTTAGCAAGCAATTTTCATTGCTGCAAGTAAACGGAGGCAGTGAGCTTGTGCAGGAGGGATCCGTGTAAGCCGTTTTTAAAATGTAATAATATTTTTGTTTTATTTCATGTTGGTAAATATTTCACAGTTGAACTTTAATCTGATTCAGGTTGCACACACAGGTGTTTTGTGGGCTGCTGGCTGCCTTCAGGCTTATATTTGACACCTTTCCCCTACAGGCTGAGGAAAACAGGCCTGTGTCATCTGTGCTTTTAGTGTTGTACATCCTCAGCTTTCATAGCTGCTGCTTCCCTGCTCCCAGCCGCCACCAAACCTCATCCCTCATGCTTTTAACCCAAGTTGATTATGGAGATTTTAATGTTTTGGAGTTTTTGATTAATCTTAAGTTTCGTTTATCATCTCTTTATTTGATTGTATACAGTATGTTGCTCAGAATACCTAGATTAGAATGAATACAGAACCTGCAAATAAATCTTAACATAGATATGCTAATCTCAGGTTAATTATAATTAAACAGGTTTGAATTTATACCACACTAATTAAAAAAAAACTTACTGTCATGACTGCCATTCTGCTAGACAAGCATCGACAGCTGACAGTCTGACATTAGCAAGGGGGTGGGTATTGGAATGCAGGAAGAAATTAAGGGAGGGATGGAAACTAAGCTGTGTAGGCCCAAAGCGTAAAAGCACCAGCCAGCCCAAGGTCACCATTAGTACTGGTATGCAGAATTGGAAAGCCCACAAACTGAATGTCTGTTACCCAAACAATATCCAAGCACCCAATTGGACATTACTTGATAACAGGGGGATGGCCGGGTAAAAAAGTGAAAGTAAAAAAGTAAAAAGTAAAAAAGTAAAAAAGTGAATTGTACTGCTTGAGCGCGAAAACGCCAGATCCAGCCTCGCTACTTCTGTAACCACTGAAGCTTTACCAAAGTATACTCTTGGTGAAACAATGGGCCAGGAGTCCTTCTTTGCTAGATGACTGAGCAGGACAGCTGACATTAAGCTGGATCTGGAGTTTTCATGCGCAAACAATACAAACTGCTGCATCTTTGCCAAAAGCTGATGCAAAAGTCAGATGAACCAGGCAGAGGGGGTGAAACATAGGCAGGATTTTGCTTTGGGGGGAAGGGGAAGGCAGTAGAGAAGAAATATACCTCTTCAAATGCTTGTTCTTTTAGGTAGGCAAATGGGACACCCAGAAGGTGATGTGGTCTCTGTCTCTTCCAACTAACAGAGCTGGCAAACTGCAAAACCAGACAAAGCATTCCAATGAGTATAACAAGGGGTGACCCACTTCCCACCTGTCCCCCCACATTCCAGGCAAGCGGAAAAAGACCACACAAAAACTCAAGCCCTTCTTCAATTGGTACCTCCATTGCCATGGCATCCTCCTTCACAACCATGAAGACTCGTGTGCCATTAGTAGAGGTCACATTGATGTAGTCTTGCAGGATGGGTGGACGTTTCAGGATCTTTCCAGGTTCCTTCTTTCCTGGAGGCGTGGCATGCAGCAGGACTATGTCACTTATTTCCCCCTGATCTGCAACATCAGGTCTTGAATTCCTACCCAATTATAGAGCGGGGAAAGAAGAACAGCACTTACCAAAGCTTTGAAAAGGCAGCCCAGGGTCAAGTCAGGCTTCTTCAAACTAGTGAAGAAACCAGACTATAACTCATCTGGTTCGTCATGAGAAGCAATGTAGTTTCAACTATCTGCAAAGCACATGTCCTGCGCCAAAGGCATGGTTTTTTTAAACCACATTTCACAACCTTATTTATAATTCCTCTTCCTTAAGTAATGTGCTCCCAGACCCTTCTCTTGCTGCCCACTAACCTCCCTCAGTCTTGGGCTACCAAACCTGGACTGCAAGGTGGCGGACAACCACTAGATGGCAGTCATTATGGCTTTCTGTACCTGTCCCCTGCCATCTCATAGTCAACAGTAGATCAGTACAGAAGCCTATCAATAGCTCAAATCCTATCACTGTCCTATGTCAAAAAAATAATTTTGATGGAAAAAGGCACCAATGTTTACACTATTTTTATTGCCTTTGGATCTTACAAATGACCCACTGGAATGACAGAAAACACCTGGGGAAACTCCACACATTTCCTATGAGGGCAGATCTAGTATCATTCTGACTTTGCCCAGCTGAAGCAAATGCCTCTCAACCACCATGTTTTGTTAGTCTTGATGAGCTAACCTTGTATCCAGGTATTCAGAAAGGTCATTTGGAGAAAGAGTTGGTGCTGAACTACCCTCTGGTGAGTCTTCAGAGACAATTCTGTTGAGCTGCCCAAAGTCCAGCCTTTTCACAGCTTCAAGTCTCCGCCGCTTTGGTTTTGGTGCTGTCAGAATGCCAGGGAGCAAAGAAGGAACAGCTGTTTTATTTGCAAATGGGTCTTTCTCAACCTGGTACTCTCCTGCAGGGTGGGATTTCAGCCCCTATAATTCCAGTCAGCCAGTTCAGAACTTTTAGTTCATAAGGCAAATGGATTTTCCAAATTTTGTCATTTTTCAGGGATAAAATAGTCTCTGCAAGGCTTAAGGATCTGAATATTTTGGCCTTGTCCATGTTTAGAGGACGATTACCCCACTGGCCATGTCCTTGCAGCCCCCAACGAAGAAAAGCTGCCCATCCCTGGTTTAGACAGGTATTTCTGTCTCCTATCAGAGAATCTGAACCTCTTCTGGGGATCTTTATTTTTTATTTGTTTGTTGAATTTATTTGCCACCCATTTCACTATGGGGCTACTCTAGGTGACTGACAACAATAAAAATGGAGAAATAAAAAGTGTAAATGTAACAGTAGCAAATTTTAATGGACTAGAATAAACAATGAAAAAGAAAACAAGGATACAGTAATATGACAATAAAAGACGGGCAGGTAGGGAAGTGGGAATGAGAGGGAGGTGGGGTTTGCTATCAATCAAATGCTACTCCCCAAGTCCCCGCTAAGCGCACAATCATGCCTACGTCCCTGTCCTATTGTCCCCAATTATTAGTTCCTATTTCTTATATTTAAACTTATGTTTATTCTTTGTTCGACAAAATAAATAAAACAAAATCTTCCTCCAAAGGTAAGTTCCAACAATTCCCAAGGTCATTTTACTGGGACTTTGGCTGTGACCTTTTCAGTAGCTGAACCAGATTCCTGGATCTCCCTTTTGAGAATACCCTGTCTCCCTTCCTTACTTCCCTAAAATTGGAAAGACCCCTTATTTTCAGAATGTTTGAAATGCTTGGGGGATTGAAGTACTCAAAGTCCTTGAGGGATAAAATTTTCGGGCACTAATTGCAAGCCTCAAAAGTTTGCTTTGTTTTGCAGCATGTCAACCTCCTCTTTAAAGAGCCCAAAGAAGTATCTGAGGTGGTACTATTGCTGAAAGATGCCATCAAGAGACCCCTCACATCCTGGACATAAACTGTTTCAACTCCTTCCTTCTAAACAAGGCTATAGAGCATTGCACACCTGAACAACTGGACCCAAGGACAGTTTTTCCCTGAACTCTGCTAAACAACTAATTCCCTCAACATTGTCCAACTATTTACTAAGTCTGCATTACTGTTACTATTAATCTTCTCATCACTCCTGATCGCCCATCCCCTCCCACTTGTGACTGTATGACTGTAACTTTGTCGCTTGTATCCTTACAATTTACATTGACTGTTTCCTAGTATGATTTGATTGCTTATTGTACCCTTATTGTACTTTCATTAAGTGTTGTACCTGATGATTCTTGACTCTTGATGAATGTATCTTTTCTTTTCTATACACTGAGAGCATTTGCCCCAAGACAAATTCCTTGTGTAATAAAGAATTCTATTCTATTCTATCTCGCCTTTTGCCCCAAGACAAAAGAGCACAAGCACTCCGTGTCATAGCTAAGGCCCAATAAAGTCAAATTGCCTTCAGTTCCTTAATAAAACGCCAAATGCAACAGCCATCCTTTTGTAAATCAGCAGATAAAAACAAAACACCACCGTTTTTATTGCACAATGGACTTTCAAACTCACTGTGAGCTGGGCCAACCTTCTGGTTCTGATGGGAAGAATCCATTTCTGTGATTGTTGGGGGGCGTTTGGGCCCCCCACATTTTGCGTTACCTTCACCTGGCGTCTTCTTGGGGGAGACCTGGCTCCGGGCATCTTTTCCCAGACAAAGACGGAGGTCCTGGACCAGATCCCCAGTCGAGAGCGCCTCTTCAAAGGTTCGTTTTTGGCTGTGGAGTCTGGAGGCCTTGTGGCATCCCAGGGGCCGGGCTGGACCTGCAAGGAGCAGCAGAGCCATCAACCCATCGGCAGGTCGAAAACGAATCTGAGCAAAGCAGACAATCCTCCTCTTCGACCAGGCGACCCTAGTGGAGGCCAAATCCAGCCTCCGGGCCATGGCAGCCCAAGGAAGACGGGAAGGTCCCTGCAGGCGGCCGAGGGACCCGGGCTCTCCCCTGAGAGGCCCCTCGGGGACCAGGTCGAAGGGACGCGGGTTCCCAAAGGGGCACCTCCCCATTCACGACCCACTCGGAGCCGGCTCCCATCTCCCCAGGGAAGGCCCGTGTCCCTGCAGCGGAGCCGCCTTTCAGGCCTCCTTCTCCCGAGAGCCGCCGGTTCCCTTTCGCAGGAGGAGAACTCGTCAGCCGGGCCCCTCATGCCTTGCGGGAGAGCTGAAGGCGTTCGGGTAAGAGGCGGGGTGTTTCGGGAGCCTTTCCCGATGCCTCCGGGCAGCCGAGAGCGCTTCCTTCGCCGCTCACCAGACGAAGCCGCCCTTCTCCTGCCGGGGAAGCTGCAGCCGAGAGCGGCCAGTGCCTCCCCTCATTTTGCCCCAGAAGAGGCTGCGTCGCGTATCGCGCCCTCCCGGCCTCCCTCGCTCGCTCTCCCACCTTCCAGCTCAGCTAGGGCCTCCAGCTCGTCGGCGAACTGCGCCTCGAACTCGTCTTCGATGCCGTACAGCTCCGGCCCGTTACCCTCCATCGCTCGCCCCTCCCGCTCCGCTCGGCGGCAGGAAAGAGCGGCGCCAGCCGGGACGGCCTTCTTCCGGCCGGAGGGCCAGACGGGCGCGCGCAAACCTGCACTTCCGGCAGAGCCTCCCGCCCATTCTCCCCGCCCCCTGAGGCCCGGAAAGCGCTGATTGGCCCTCGAGGCCGGGGGGGGGGGGCGGTGCTCGCGGGGCCGCCTTCGCCGAGAGCCGGGACAGGGTAGGTGGGTGGGCCGCTCACTCGCCGGCCGGCGCCTCTCTTGGCGGGGGTGGCTTCGCCTCTTTGCCCCCACTGGCGGCGCTGAGCAGGGGCGGGACGTCGATGGGCAGGAAGGGGGGCGCGCCGCCCTGACTCCCGACTCCGCCCCGAAATTCCCGAGCAGCGGGGTGTGTGTGGGGGGACGGGACTGGCCCCTCAGCCCAAATCGGGGGGCCTCGCGGGGAAAGCGCCGAGAAGCCCCAGGAAGTCGCCTAGGAAGTGGCGGGAGGAGCGAAGGAGGCTCGGAGAGCCCCGCGGCGTAGCTGCCGCCAGAAGCGTCCCCGAAGGAGGGCGCGCGAGGCCGCTTCTCTGGCTGGGCGAACGGCGGGAGAGCAGAGCTCCTGTCCATGCGCAGAGTTCTTTCACCCTGCCTTTTTTCCCTCAGAAAGCGGGGAGGGCGGGCTCTCTGCTAGGCTCAGCATTTATTCATGTCTTATTTGTCAAATGTAGGACGTGCCCATCGTCTCCCTTTTCTTGACCCGGCGCTCGCCCTGAATTTGGGACCCCCTATCGAAAATGGCGGGGGGCGTTTTGCGGGACTGGTAAAGGGCGACCACCAGGCGCTGCGCTGCTCCTTTTCAGAGTTTCCTAGTGATAAGATCTGTCAATCATGGAACAAATAGGCTGCCAGGCGAAGTGATCTTTGGCGGTCTTCTAAATCGAGGCCATCTGCACCACCAAGAAGGAGGTTGGGGCTACAGCTCAGAATGACTTGTTTTCAGATAAATACATACAGACTTTCACTGGTAGCGCCTCATTTACACGCCTAAGTTTTAATGCAAGATTTGCATTGGCACAAAGGGAATATCGGGCTCCTAAATGTTATGGTAAAACTGCTAATACTTCACATTTATCTTGTCCCATAATGTGTTTATAACTTTTAAAAGCAAAATCTTGCTTATTTTTTTGCCAGTCTATTCACTGGTCGTAGCCACAATGTGTGTGGGAAATGTGTTAGCTTGCCGTACATTTTAAAAGACTTGAAAATCACTATTCCATTCTAAGTAGAATATAAATCAGGAAAAGTAGTCATGGTATAAAATTTACCTGTAAATAATAAATTATGTCCACACTACTATTCTAAGTAAAATTCAAATATAAAGACTTTATGTCAGGAGAAATTTAAACTTTGGATGTATCCATCCACAGAGTTGAAGTGTTTGGTGAAGGCTTCAACCTCCAGTGTTTTAATCTTGACCCAAGTATCGTCCACATATCAGTGAGAAGGAATTCCTGTGAAGGAATGTAGGGCCTTGGTTTCTACCTCCTTCATATAGATATTGGCCACAATGGGGAAAACACAACTCATGGTGTAGCCATGTTTTTGTCTGTAGAAACCTTCATTGTATTTAGAATACATGGTCAGGCATAGGTCCAGTATGGCACATATGTGGTTTGGGCTGAGTGTAGTTCTGTCACCTAATGTGCTGTTTTGTAGCAGTTGTTTCTTCACTACTGTGACAGCTTCAGTTGGAATACAGGTGAAGAATGAAATCATATCATAAGAAACCATAATCTCATCCAGCTCCAGCTTTAGTTTCCAAAACTTGCTGACAAGGTCTTGAGAATTGTTGATGTGTGATGGGTGGTGTTGCTGACTGGAGCTAGTAAGATGGAGGAGGAGCTAATAAGAGGGTTAGATGTTTCACGGCATGGTAAATAATGGAGTTGATGCTGCTGACAATGGGTGGAGTTCCCTCTTCGTGGATTTGGGGATGTCTATATATACATGGAGCGGCTTCCCCAGCTGGTAGTATTGTGGTTTGTCGGTGGTACTGTCCTTTGGTAGTTGCAGGAAATCAATGGCCTTTTTCTTATAACTTCTGGTAGGATTTCCTCAGTGTCTCATAGGTGGCAATGCCCTTCAGCAAACTGTTCACCTTGGCATTATAGTCGCCGGTGTTCAGGATAACTGCATCTTCCTTTATCAGCCAGCAAGATGGTGAAAGTCCACATTCTGGACAGAGGGGACCACTGGATTGAAAGAGGGGTCAAAGAGGTCATCTATGTTAAAATTGAACATCCTTCTCTCAACAGAGTGGGAGGGATAAGGCATCATCAGAGTCCTTTCAGCAGTTCTATGAAGGTTCCACTACCCATTTGCACTCTGATTCAGGTGATCCTGAAGGCACAAATTAACCCCAAGTGGCCTCAACAACTCTCAGAGAGTGCTAGCAACCAGATGACTGCAAGGAATATAAATCCTTCCGTTTCCCCCACCACCACCACCACCATTCAGTCAGAACTGAAGAAGCTTCTTGGATGAGAAGTAAAATGTCTTCAAGAAAAAAACAAAGTCCAGTTGTTTTTTGAAAAAGTACCCTTGGGGCAACTATGACCTGGATGACTTAAGAATCTCCATAGATATTCTGACCTGATCATTATATTTATAAAGCTTTTTTAAATAAAACATTAAATATCATTTTAGAGATCTGGACTGAAGTGATAAACCAGTAACAAAATAAACTAACAGTTTTCTCTGGTATTTGGCATAAAGGTAATGGTCTTCCATTAAAATTCCCATTGTTGCATAACTTAGCACCATACATCCAAATTCTGCACCCATTTAATCGTACAGTTTTTAATTGTTGGTAGTCCATCACTGAACGTCAGTAGCTATTCATAAAACTTTGGGTTTTTGCTTAGCTGCTACTTAGACTGAATCAAGGGATATGTGCAGAGTGATTTCCCATCCCTATTGGAAAATCCTAAGTTATCTCCAAAAACTTCTGGGAGAGCCAGAAAACCTCTGGGTTAGAGAATACTACAATCCGTTAATGGTGTTCAATGTATTTGTCAAACATTTGAGAAATAAAGTGTAAACAGTTATGAAAGCTCAGAACACCTTTCTTTTTCTCCAAAGGGTTTGCCACTATGGAGCCCGTGAGTATTGACAACCTGTCAATTTTGTATCAAAGTGAGGACTTCATTGTGGTCAACAAGCACTGGGATGTCCGCATCGACAGCAAGATGTGGTATGAAAAGCTGACTCTGCAGAGTCAGCTGAAATACCGATTTCCAGAACTTGCTGATCCAGGCACTTACTATGGCTTCCGGTAAGTGGGTAGGTTTCTCTGAGGGGCAGGGTGGAGGGTCTTGGTGATGGAGACCTCGAGCCCCATCCATTAAGAGAGGGCAACTAGGATATCCGGTTTGTCGGCTTCGCGAGCGGCAGGGATTCGCGAAGCTGCGCGATCCCTGCTGCGCTAGCCGTTTTTGGGGCTCCGATCTGGACGGGTACGGAGCTAGGCTGCCCTGCAGGGGCAGCTGAAGGTAGGGGGGATCCGGAGAGGGGTTTGGGGGTGTTGCAGACCCCCTCCCCGGCCGGCAGAACCCCCTTTTCCCAAGACGGTGCAGCGGCGGTCCGTAATGGCCGCCACAAAGAAGCTGGCAGCCGGGTAAGAATGCGCAGGAGGAAGTGGAGAAAGTTTTTCAAAGGAGAAAGTTTTTCTTGGTTCCTAGGACTCTAAGACATATTTAACAAAATTCCTGAAAAGTATGTTTTTCTGAATGATACCTTCTAGAAGAGGAAAAAAGCGGCAGTTTGGTGGTGCTGAAAGGAAAGCTTACCCTCTTTTCCTACGGAATAAATAAGTGGATATTAAGAAACCTATTTCTTTTAGGTGAAAACTGGCTTTAAGCGATGAGTGGGAAGAGAGAGGACTAAAAAAATATATTTGTATGCTAAGACTTTGTTGGAGGAGATGCCTTAAGGATTTGAAGACTAAAATATATTGCAATAAGATTTTAAGAAACTGATTTGGACTTTCTTTTTCTTTGATTGATACTACCCCAGGAGGAGAAAGTGAGAACTCTGCCTTGGTTTGGACTGATTGATAACTTTGGGACTGTTTTATTTTTTCTTTGGAATATTCTGGTTGTTGTAAGAAGAAAGAAGGGGAAAAGAAAAGATTTATAATGGTTCTTTCTATTGAGGAACTGAGAAAAGATTATGAACAAGCAAAAAAAAATGGTAAATCTGGTTTGAAAGAAGCCTTCCTTTTTTTAGAAATGGCGCTTATCAACAAACATTACAACAGATGAAGACAGCAGAAGAAGAAGAAGGAGAGGAAGCCATTTTTATTAAATTTCAGAACTCGACCAAGAAAGAAGGAAGAGTGAAAGGAAGAGAAATAAAGGACAAGATTTAAAAAAACACTTAAGAAAGGGAAAAATAAGGTGCAAAATCAATATAATGATAGTAAACAAAAGGGAAAAGGAACACGACAGAGAAGGGAAGCCAGTAAGGCAGAGGCTAGAAGAAGGGGGGGTAGAAAGGTTTGTTGGGAGAAGAAAGAAAGGGAAAAGGTGGAGAAAAGCTACAAAGTTTTGAAATTAAATGGGAAAAAAGGAATCTTTTTTAGGGATAAAGGATAAAGTATAATTTCTTCAAAAAGATTTTGCAAGGTACATAAGATGATATTGTAGTATGGTATTAGAAATAGAAAACTTAAATGGTTTAAGAGTTGATAAGAGATTAAAATGTTGAAATGTTTAATAATGATTGGTTTTAAAATTTAATAATATGATGGGAGGTTTAGAATATTGAGTTTTAATTAAAGAGTTTAATAAGATTATGGTATTGATGTTATTATAAAATTTCTATTATAGTATTTGTTTTTAATATTTAGATTTATTGTTTAACTATTATTTATTTAATTACTTAATTATTTATTTAATTACTTAATTATTAAGTAATTATTTAATTACTCTGGATGTACTATTTAGATAGAATGTACCAAGCAAAATCGGATTGGGTATTGGGCGTTATTTTAAAGGTTAATTTGATTAATTTAGGGGGGAGATAGAAAGGCATCATACTCTGATTAGTGATTTCAGGAGAAACTTCTTTTTTTTTTATAAGGAATGAGACAAAGGGACAATAAAGAATGGACAAAAGATACAAATATAATGACTCAAATTAAGATGATTAATTAAGATAGAATTAAGAAGAGTGAAATACGTGGAGAAGTTAATATAGAAAGCTTAGAATGGTAAATAAAATAAGTAATGATATGTAAGATGAGCATGAATATAATTGAAGTCCATGAAGAGAGAGATACCTGGGTCCAAGTTACTTTCCAAAAAGATTTTTTTTATGTTTTATGTGTTGTGTGTATATGTTTTTTTTTGGGGAGAATTAATAAAACCTTGCAGAAATATAGAATGAGAATAATGGTAACTAAGTCAGAAAGAAATAGATGAAATAATAATAATGAAATTGAATAAAAGTAAAGAGAAGTAAAGAGAAATTGGACAAGAGGTTTTTGTATGTTTATATGGAAATGGTTTAAAACAGAATTATAGTTTATCTGACTTGTTAAATTTATAATGGAAAAAGGTTTAAACATGTAATGGATAATGATGATTTGTGTGTTTTGAAAATTAATAAAACTTGTGTTTTTTTTTAAAAAAAAAAAAAGAGAGAGAGGGCAACTAGAATGCTGCTTGTTTCAAAGTCTGTTCCATCTGGGAATGTTGCTTTTACTTCCTTGCCCATTGAAGCTTTTCCTACATGGAGCAATCCTTGGAGTTCAGCACAATCAGGGCCTTCTCTTAGCTACTCAAAGTTCCTGCTGAGAGTTGGACTGCTGGCTTTTCAAATCATGTACAATTCCTTTTAGAGCAATGCTTCTGTTGTTGCTAGTTTGCCCCTTTATATTTTTCTGAAGTTGCTAGTTTTGCCTTCTCCTGATTTGTTTTGATTGTGTTTTATTTTTTTACCATACCTTCATAAGTTGTTATTTGCTTCTGAAGGGGAGTGGGCAGCAATAGGGTGCTACTATCAAAAAGCAACAGCTGTGATACCAAGTGGTCTAGTCCTTCAAATGCTGTCAACTAGAAACTTTTAGGCCTCAGCATAAGAGTAAAGGTCTACAAATATTTTAATTGGGTTTACATATTAACATATCTTGGGTATTTCCCCCCCCCCTAGGTTTTGCCACCAGCTGGATTTCTCCACCAGTGGGGCACTTTGTGTGGCACTGAACAGAGAGGCGGCTGGCAGTGTGTACAAGTGTTTCAAAAATCGGACAGTCACCAAGGCCTACCTTGCATTGGTAAACTCCCCTGTTCTTTCCACTATGTTGACAGTCAGACTGCAGTGATTCCTAGACTGTAGAAATGGAAATGAAAATCTTTCTGAATGTTTAAATTTTGAATGAGGAGGATAGACTTCGCTGAGCAGTGGTGTGTTCGGGTGATAAGAAAAGAATTGTCATATAACAAGAGAGGTCCTTATGTAAAGGAGGCTGCTCCTTTGTGGTGGAATGGGACAATTGATCATGGTGGCATTGCCATGGCCACTTCACCCCAGGCCCTCCATCGCAGCCAACCTATTGCAGGTGTTCATTCTCTCCTGCCCTCCCAGGTTGGGAGGGGCAGCACTGTATTGTTAATTCTCTTCCATCCTCCTCAGTGGCTGGTTTTAGTCAGTGTTGATTGTGGAGTGCTGCAGAGTTTGATACTGTCTCCACTCCTGTTTAACATCTATAGGACATTAGATGAGGTCATCCATAATCTTCGGTTTTAATGCCCAGCCAGCTATATATCTCTGTTCCTAGTGAAGTAAGCAATGCTGCCAACATCCTGTCAGAGTCTGGAGATCATAGGGGCTTGGAGGGGAACAGCAGGCTTTGGCTCAGTCCTGGCAACACTGAGTAGCTTTGGGTTCTGAGTAGGGTTGTAGTTCCCCAGACAGATCTGGTGGGCAGTCTGGGTATCCTTCTGGACTCCTGACTCCTGCCCGAAATAAAGGTGGCAGTTGTAGCTAGGAGAGCTTTCGATTGTGTGCCACTTGAGGATTCTTTTCATGGATCTTTTTTTATTAATCTGTCAGCATTTACTTTCCAACTTTTTACCCAGGTTGCTTCTGAAATGGGTATCTTTTCCAATGTATGAAATACTCTAATTGACCTCCATATATTCTAGAATCTAAGAATAGTTTAACCTCATAGTGTTCATGGCCCACAATTACGGAAAGTTTTGGTGGGGCCCAATCTACTGGCCTAATAGAGGAACTGACAGCTGGCTTTAACAAGCTGCTGTGAAAAACCGGATGCACTTTCCTTAACAGATGGGGAAGTTTAAGTTGCATGGTGACAGGGTTAATTATCTTAACAATTTCAAAGGGACATAAAAATTTCATCCCCAACTTCCTGGAAGCCCATTGTAATTTCAAGTATTTGGTGGACAAGTAAACTTTATCCCCCACCCTAAATTGTGGTTGCTGAGAGCAGTGTTTGTCAGCTTGTGCTTTACAGATTTTCATGGCTTCTGCTAAAGCTCGCTTAGTGTTTTCCCATGATTTTTTCAAAGAACCCATCTATTCTTTTGCAGAAAGTCTAAAGAAGTTAAGAAAAAAGATACAAAAACTAGAATAAAATATGGCTACACATAGGTCATCTTCAGGGTCGACATAGGGTTAGGGTTGGGCAAACCTACACCTTTTTCGTATCTAGTGAGCGTGGGATATTTCAGAGCTGGTTGGACTTTACTGTAACCAACACCTTTAGTAAAAGAACCCTTTGCTTTAACCAAATGGAGTCAAGGGTCTTTCTTTCCTAAGGGATTGGATTGGGGCAGGTCTGACAGTGGTTGTTTAGTGAGTTGTCCTGTGATTTTACAACTTTCTTTTGCTGTGGCTATTAAGGGCTTTGTCCATTGATTTAGTTTGTCAGAAGCCAACTGGGAAGGTTGCAAATAGGGATTACATGATCCAGGGACACTGCAACCATTGTTTAGTTGCCAAGGGATCATATGACGACAGGATGCTGCATTCCTTGTAAGTGCATTGACCGGTCATAAATTATTAATTTCAGCACCGTTGTAACTGAATGTATCATCGTAAGTTGAGGACTATCTGTATATAAATCAAACGAATGGATGGATGAATAAAATTCAGATTCTCTAGTTCTGTAGATATGTACATGCCCTATTAATTTCTTATTCCTCAGATAGGATTTTTGTATTTTGTATTACTGTGTATTGTTTCTTAACAGCAGCGATAACATATCACTGTGTGTGTGTGTGTGTTAATTATGAAGGTGGAATAGGAGTGGGAGAACCATCTCTGAATTCTGAGCTACTTCCGCCCACCTAGCGCAACCTACAATACCTGGTGGTTGTTGAGGGGAAAAATGAGAGAATAATGTATGTTGCCTTGCATTCTTGGAGGAAAAGCAAGATATAAATCTAACGAACCAACCAATATGACATTGCAAGTCACTGCTCTGAAGTGTCTTCTGTTTGGATAGGTGAGAGGCCACATCCAGGAGGCAAAGAAGATGATCTGCTTTGCTATAGGGAAGAATACGACTGAAGGGCTGACTCACATGATGTGCATCGAAGGGACCGATGGTAGGCTGCTGCTATGACTGTGATGTCCCTTTGCTTTATTGCATGCCAAAGAATCAGGGATTCCAGCCAAACAGTTATGCCCTTGGGATAACTAGGTCTACTAATAGACTCAACCCCTGTATGCTTCATTGCTTTGTAGCTGCTTTGGCTGCTGAAAGTTCACAGTCCAATCCTCTAGGCAGACCTGGAAGAGATACCCTCTGAAACTCTGAAATACTTCTGCAGGAAATACAGTCTAGTTCAGATGACTTTGTAGCTTGATTCAGGTGCTGGCAGCTTCCTGCCTTTCAAGCAGTCATCTGCCTTTATGATTTCTTTCCTTGTATTCCTTTGTGCTTTTATCTGCTTTGTACCTAACTTAAGGACAGTGTCTGTGCATCAAACACTAGTTTGTGAGCCAGGTTTAAGACAGCTTGGTTTTCAGCCAATCCTTAATGATGGTTCATGTATTCAGAGAATGTTTTAAAACAAACACTTCCACCCACCTAGAAGAAGTTTGTCTTCTTATGAGGACTACACATGACTGCCTTAATTTGTTGGTTGGTTGAATACATAATCCTAGAAAAATGCTCTCCTTCTCTTCCTAGAAGACAGACTTTATATCAGCTTGTGTGCATCATAGAATTCAAGACAGTAGTAATGAAATGTACTTGCTGGACAATATGCTGAAATTTTTGAAACTGCTGAATTACTGTTATCGCTTCTTAATAAAAACAATGTCTAATTCTTAACAGGTTGCAAAAGCCCGAAACCTTGTCGGTCAGAACTTATAGTCCTTGAATATGGGTTGTACAGTGGAGAGCCAGCAACAAAAGTGCTTTTACAGCCTCTCACAGGTACAGAGATCTCTCCTCCAGAATTAGCACAAAATTCCTCTTCTGCCATGCAGAAGAGATGTCACGCCACACCCTTCCTTGTTTGTTTATGGTTCTGTAGGCTTGGTTGGAACATGGACAAATAATGCTAAAACCATTTATTTATTTAAGTTATATGCCATTCATCTCCCTATTACTTTTAGAAAGTAAGCTTCGAAATTACATGTATCTGTGGTAAATTTAAATGTTAATTGCTCCACATATAATTATTTCAAATGAATGGATGAAGAATTCTGCTATGTTACAAATGTTGTTATCTTATGTAATGGACAGCTTAGAGTTACCTAAATTCTTGACATTTTGGAAAGTGAGTATTAATTATTGAATGCATTTTAAGAAGTCCTTCCAGATGTGAAGTAGTAGAAAGATACAATCCATGAAATAAAACAAGATCCTTTAGTAGATAGTTGGCCTGTGGTTAGCTGAGAGACTGCTTGTCTTCAATGGCTTTTGCCTGCCCAGCATGTTCCATTAGAGGGGGTTCCAGCTCTAAGTCTCCTCCATTGAACACAGTCATCTTGGGGGACCTAGGAAACATGCCCTCTCTGTTGCAACCCCCATCCTCTGAATTTCATGGCACCCTCCTTCCTAGGGTTTTAGAAAGTTTGAAAACCTGGCTTTGACCCCAGGCCTGAACTTGATGCTTATTGATTTATTCTTTTGTTGATTTTGTTTATGTTGGATAATTTTAATCACGGGCATCTGATTTTATATTTTTAGCATTTATGTTTTTATTCTAGTATTGTACACTCTCCAGTGTCCACTAGAATTGGCTATCAATAAATTCAAATAAATAAAAGGAACAATGGTCCTAATAACACATACATATTAGTCAAGCCTCTGTTGGTCAGAATGACAGCATGTGCACACTGAATAAGTAAAAATATCTTTATCTGCTTGCTTTTTTCCCAGGACATGGTAGTATAAAAGTTAGAGTTAGGCCAGTTTTCTAGTCTTGATTATACAGACCTATCTGCACATTCCAGGAGAAAAAAATACAGACTTTTGTCTTGGACTGAGACTTGTGATTTCTTAGCTTAGTGGTTTTCCAAAAACTGGTTATATTTTTGCAGAGGCTAAAGCTCAAGAGATGGAGCAATGGATTTGTCTGCAGAAGGGGGCAAGTTTGTTCCTTATCATTTCCAAATTGTGCTAGGAAAGATTTCTGTCAGACATTCTAGCAAGCTGACAGACTGGTGAACTCTAAAAATCTAACCCAAGACATGAGTCTAGCATCAAACTTGAGTACAAGAGACCGCAGACTCCATCCTGTAGCTGGGTAAAGTGGGGGGAAAGGCTCTATGGAGGTGGCACCTTAGATAGCCAAGGTGCTCTGTAGAGGGTTGGGAGTACAGCTTGAGACTCCAGAAATTGAGACCACCCAGGAATTCCAAAAGTCCTTACCCAATTTCAGTTTTAATGGTTCCTTATTAAAAATAGTTTTAATAGTGAACTAAATACCCCCTTCATTATAAAAAGAAGGAGGGTCTGCAGGGGCGGGGGGGCAAAGTATCAAGATGAAAGTTTTGATTATGTGATGGTGCCTTCCATAAAATCTATTGGATTTTAATGAAACATGCAATGTAAATAAAATTAAACAGAAATGACGTTTCTGTTGTGGCGTTACTTTTGGGGATGTACCGTATTTATCGGCGTATAACACGCACAGGCGTATAACACGCATCTTCATTTTAAGAGGGAAATTTCACCCCCACTCCCACCCCGCGTGCGCGCTTCAATCCACAGTGTCCCATTCTGCCTGCCTGCCTGCCTGCCTTAGTTTCTGGTTGTTTGGGAGCAGCTTCGGCTGAGAATAATAACTATTCGCCTCTTTTACTCAGCCGAAGCTGTTCCGATTCAACCATTAACGAAGGCAGGCAGGCAGGCAGAACGGAGCACTGCGGGCGGGCGGGCGGACGGGGTGGGGGAGAAACGGGCGCGGCGACAGGAAAAGCCCCCCCCCCCCGCTTCTTTGAAGCAGTTTCTTCCTGTGCTGGTGGAGGAGCGAGAGAGCGACTGAGAGAGCTGACCCAGAGAGAAGGACAGGCTTCGGTTGCTTCCTCCCTCCCCTTCTTTCATTTGTGTCCTTGATCCCCGATCCCAGCAGCATTCACCGAAGGCTTCTTAACATTATATCGGCGTATAACACGCATACATCATTTGCCCCCTATTTTCAGGGGGAAAAAAGTGCGTGTTATACGCCGATAAATACGGTATTTGTCATACCACCGAACTGCCCCATGCTGGGAGAAAGTTGTTTTACCATTAGTGGCTTCTAGTATCATCCAGACATTGCGTCATAATAACAGTAAGGAGGAGAGCTCTATATCATCCCAACAATGACTGAACAATTCCAGAAGACAGGGTTAAGTCACAGGTTGATAAATGGCCATAGAGAACTTCCTGTACTTATAACAAACATGCATGCTGTTGCACAAGGTCATCAGTAGAGTATTGGAAACAATCTTGCACAAACAGCTGAAGTTTCCCTGTTTAGAAACATGTTTTCCTTGTACGTCTTCTTTCTTAGGAAGAACCCATCAGCTCCGAGTCCATTGCAGTGCCATCGGGCACCCAATTGTTGGGGACTTTACCTATAGCTTTAAGAAGGACAGTGCTCCATATCGGATGATGCTTCATGCGTATTATTTGTGCATTCCAACCAGCAAGGAGCTTATCGAAGTGAGTGCTCCAGACCCCTTTGTTCCCTCCTTCGACAGCAGTTGGGTCCCTCAGCATCTTATACACCGCTTGGATGAGCTGATCCAGGAGTTGAAAGACAAGGGCATTTGGGCAGGGGAGGAAGAAAAGCAGGAAGATCCATCTGCTGTCCTAAGTTGTGAGGTCACACCTGAAATGAAGACCCAAGAAATGGAGGAACAGCAAACCCACTGCAAGCAGTGGTTGTCTGAATGGGCGCCGGAATGAAATGGTTACTCCTTTGCAAGTGAAATGGAAGCCATCTCTCTTTACCCTGGGGCTTGTGAACAGCCTCGATCCCTGGACAAAGAAGGGCACATTTCTGCTTTAGTTGCAAAATTCCCCAGGAATGAGGAGCACTGCAGCCCCAGATTGTAACTCTAAAAGTTATGTGTCTGCATTGCAATATTTTAGTTTTCTTGGCTCAGCAGTCAGGAGAGAGGACAGGCAGGCAGGATTGGTGACTTTATTGGGTGTACAAAGGGACTGAATTGATGTGTAGGTAGTCCTTATCAAAATTGGTCACAATTGAGGCCAACATTTCTGTTGCTAAGCAAGATACTTATTAAGTGGATTTTGCTTCATGTTATGACCTTTCCTGCCACAGTTGTTAAGCGAATCACTGCAGTTGTTAAGTTAGTAATGGTTATTAGGTAAACCTTGGCTTTCCCATTGACTTTGCTTGGCAGAAGGTCATCACGTGACCCCTGGGTCACTGCAACACATAAATACATGCCAGTTGCCAAGCACTCAAATTTTGATCATGTGATTGATTGCAGGAATGTGGGAATGATTTCAAAAAGAAAAGACAGAAAATGGAGTTTGATGGCTTGGTTAGGTTAAATTCAAAAAACTACTGAATGCTTTATTGCTGTGCGGGAGATACTGGGTATTGATGGAGGGCTAAGAAAACCTCTGTCTAGAATAGAACAGAATTCTTTATTGTCCAAGTGTGATTGGACACACAAAGAATTTGTCTCCGGTGCAGAAGCTCTCAGTGTACATATGTACAACAACAAAGTGATAGATCATAGATCATAAATCATAGTTACAATTATTAATCATAAGATACAGACAACAAGTGATAAATCATAAGATTCCAATAGGAGAAGATAGTAGGAAAGATGAGAAGATGAGAAAAGGTGAGAAATGAGAAAATGAAAAAGATGATAGTAGCAATAGAGGCTACTACATGAGTAAATTTCTGAGGCCTAAGACAGTGCTGTGGGAATTAAGTGTTCAGCAGAATGATGGCATGGGGGGAAACACTCTTTATTTGAGTCTAGGTTTTTTGCATGGAATGCCCTATAGCGGCATTCTGAGGGGAGGAGTTGAAACAGATTATGTCCAGGTTGTGAGGGGTCTAGATATTTTCTCAGCCCTCTTTCTGGTCCGTGCAGTAAACAGGTCCTCAGTGGAAGGCAGGCTGGTTGTGGTTGTTTTTTCCTGCAGTTCTAACTATCCACTGACGTCTGTACCTGTCCTGTGGAAGCTGTGTCAAACGAGACAGTTACAGAGGTACAAATGACAGACTGAATAATTCCTCTGCAGAACTAGATCAGCAGATCCTGATAATCCTGCCCCCTTTTTATGTATGTGATATCTATGGAGTATGTTAAAAAAGGAGCAAGGCTTTGTATAGTTAGTTGCAGCTGCCAAATTCTAAATACAAACACCCTGCAGACACCCCTGAAGGATATTTTGATGGCCTTTTGATAGGTGTATGTGCAAAGCTGCCTGCCTGCCTTCCACTTTTTTTGCCCTCAAAACACAAGTTTTGACTTTTAAACGATTTGCTTACCAATTTAAATCAAACTCATGGTTTTAACTTATAGGGCTGTTTGAGAGAAAACCATCCTATATTCTATCAATGGCATTTTAAGGTCTGTTCCAGAATATTGTAGTAAATAATATATTTTTAGGATGTCTGAATTAGTCTCAGAGTATTTTTTTTTAAAAATGTTTGTGGTGCATTTTCTAAATGCATAAAATTCAAATGGATTTAAGTTAATTGCATATCAAACAGATGTGACATGATATTCCCCCACCTTCCATTTTGTTAGGCTTATGATTTTTTGATCCTGATTGTTGCCTGATGGAGAAATGACTTTTATTTTTTGATCCTGATTGTCTGATGGAGAATTGACTTTTATTTATTTTTATGAATGACAGGGCTGCATCCCAGTTTCCCTTAAGCAAAGGAGAAAATGCTTACTTCTTGTGAGAGGTTTTGAAAATGTGCCTTTTGATTGATTCCAGGGATTGTATGAAGGGCTTCTACATAGAATGCAGGTTTTATCTCCTTGGTTTTACACTTATCTTTCCTGCCCACGGCATACCGTTGATCTTGTGAAACTGCTTAAATCTTTGGCAATATTTCAAAACTTTAGTAACCAAGTGTAATGTATGTTATTTATATTCAAAGTTTAAGTAGAATTTTGTACAAATCACACCAGGTATAGATTATTCTGTGCATAACTCCTCCCCTCAGCTTTCCCAGTGTTCTAATTTCAGTCTTTGAAATTGGTGCATTAAACAGCTCTTTTCACTAGAGGATGCTCACACTGCAAATTGTCTTGTTTGTGGCTGCAGGCCTTAAATCCACACGGTTGGCAGTAAACCACGGTTAAGTAATATGCATTTTTTAAAAGTGGGTGTAGAATTTTGAAGATACGGCTTGCACAAAATGGCAAGATAGGTAAGTGAAATTCTAATCCTGACCCTCACTCTTGTGCCTGACTGTCTTTGTGGCACACATACTGAAGGAAATCAGTATGGAATCTGAATCAGAGAAGAACAGACCTCACATTAAAAGATGTGTTTCAGTCTTTAAGCTGTGAAATCACATGACATAAAATCACTCATTTTCAGGCTTTATCCAATTGACTGGAGTCTGTGTGTAATAATAATGCATATTATCTTAAAAGACTGCTTAGAAACCTTTTTAAAAAAATCAAACAGTTAAGCTCGTTGCCTTTAATTGTTTAATTGATTTTTTTTTAAAAAGGTTACATGCAGTCTTTCCTATATCCTATATCCAGTCTTTCCTATATCCTATAGCCTGACAAGACAATTCACATTGCAATAAATGAAAGCAGTTTCATTTTTTTATTTCTATTTTTATTATTTCATTTATTAAATTTCAGTGCTGCCCATTTTGCTGTCCAAAGCAACTGTTTATAAACTTTTTAAATTTTAAACTGCAATTAATAAAAATACAACAAAAATACATTGAGCCAATTAAAAATTGGCTCATTCATCAAGCAAATTAAATCAACTACTTTTATGCAAGCTTTGATGTATTTAAGCGTGCTACGTTTCTTTGTTAACTTCTAACCAAAGTTCTCTAAGTGGCTTGTAAAATATACTACAAAGTAAAAATGTAAAACCAAATAGCATGTAAAACTGGCAGTAGTACAAATTACTAAGATGTATGGATTTATTTATTTGTTCATTTACAATATTTAATATTTGTAATTTACTGTCCATTATTGCATTTTTTCTTCCTTCCCTTGAGGAAAGCTCTAATACATTAATTCAGTTCTTATACTAACAGATTCATAGGGTAGGTGGTGTGGTGGCCCAAGGTCTTCAAAATAACTGAATAGATGAAACTATTTTACTGGACATCAGGGCAGAAATTCCTGGAAGCATCTTCTGAAATGTGGTGTGTTTGTGTTAGAAAAGTCCATGTGTGAATAGATCCAAGCCATATCTTTGGATTGTTTGAAATATATCTCATCTGCCATCATCAGGCAGTTTCTCGTAGGTTTTGATCTGGCTGTTTATTTCCTCCCCGTAGAGGTTTGATATTTGTTTTCTTAAGTTTTCGCGGGTACTTACATGTATGGCATTCAGCTTTGTTCGGGTATTTTCCCACGTCATTGTAGTTGTGCTTTTAAAGTTGTAGCAACGTTTCAGCAGAATCTCATCTGCCATCATCAGGCAGTTTCTCGTAGGTTTTGATCTGGCTGTTTATTTCCTCCCCGTAGAGGTTTGATATTTGTTTTCTTAAGTTTTCGCGGGTACTTAAACAGCCAGATCAAAACCTACGAGAAACTGCCTGATGATGGCAGATGAGATTCTGCCGAAACGTTGCTACAACTTTAAAAGCACAACTACAATGACGTGGGAAAATACCCGAACAAAGCTGAATGCCATACATGTAAGTACCCGCGAAAACTTAAGAAAACACACACACACACACACACACACATATGTGTGTGTGTGTGTGTGTGTGTATGTATGTATGTATGTATGTATGTATGTATATATATTTATCCAAGTTAAAACAAGTTGCAGCTTTCTTGCATAAGAGCAAAGCAGATTTATTAGTTCTTAGATCAGCATATAGTCTAACAGGTAACAAGATTCTCGAAAACAGGAAAGGATTTGAATATTTCAATACAGTGGCAGTTGTCCTGGAAAACTACTCTAAAGGAAAATTGAAACCCACCACCACCAAAAGATGATTTTTTTTTACTTCACTTGATTTAAACTTTATACAAGAAAGGCCTAATGATTGTCTACCTACCCAGTTCTAGACTTATAGATAATCTAATTAATAGATTACAAATAGGCTCCATGTTTTTTGTTCTATAGGTATTCCACTGTATTATTAATAAATCATTTGTTTTCCTCATAGAGAGCCTGAGAATTTTTTTAAACTTCACACATTTAAATCTTGCCATTTTTTAAAGAATAACTCCTGTGGTTTTAATATATGAAGCTTCTGTTGCAAAAAGGTATTACAAAAATATTTCTCTTAATCTGTCTCCTGAAATGAAGCAAGGAGCAATTATTTTACCCATAAGTGAACTGTCAGGAACAGTATATCAGGACTAGAGATTTAAACAGGGAGTTTATAAAATAACATTAAAATAACTCATAACAAAAGGGAAAATCTATTTTTTTTCTCCCCAGGAAATAAGGAAAACAGTAGCTGTTATGAGGCGCTCTCACATTTTGCAGGTGGACCATAGGATCCTCTGAATGTAAAAGTGAAAAAACAATGGGCGTCTGCAAGCGTGTTTGTGCACAGTGTCATGATGCCTGTACAAAAGGGGTAGAGTAGAGCTGGCCTCACACCACTCTGCCTTTTAACTGAAGTGGGAAGGTCTTCTTGCATGTTCCTTAATAGTTTATCATTTACTTCAGTTTGAATTTTTATTCTTTTTATGACCCTGTAATCTCTTGATTCGGGGTGGAGTCGGATGACTGAATGGAGCCGAGCGTTTACTGACTGGATGCCCTTCCTGATGCCTACATGGAGTTTGCAGCAGATATTTTCTCTTTGCGCCCTGATAGAGAAACATCTCTCGCTGCCTAGGATTGAACTTTCACCCACCTCTAGGTCACCATGCCACTCTTACTTCAGTTTGAAATTATTGTGTGAAACTAATAAGGAACGCCTGATGTAATGCTAGCATGGGAAATTGCTAAGTGTTTTCTTGGCTAAACACTGTGGGATAAGAGATGCTGCTTTTGTGACATTGCTTGCTCCCACCCTCCATCCCCCAGCAATCAGAATGAGTGCTGTTTTCAACCTTTGCACCTTGTAGACCAAGCAGGAAAATAATTAAATAATTATAATAATTCCTGGAACTCAGGAAAAATTTCCTGACAGCAATTAATGGAACAGCTTTGCCTCCTGGAGTTGTGGATGCTCCCTCACTGGAGATGTTCATGGAATGATTGGACAACCATTTGACCTGGATGCCTTAGGCAGGGGCTGGAGTAGAAGACCTCTGAGGTTCCTTTCAGCCCCATGATCCTCCCCTCCCCTCCTGCTCTCTGAACTTTTTGATAAACTTTTGTTTGGAATTGACCAGAAATATAAATCTAATTCCTTAATGGGATGTTTTATGAATTGTAAGATGAAAGATCTATTTTGGGATAAAAATTCATGATGGCTTGTGAATTTAGCTGTGTTACATTAGTTCCCACTGCATATTATCACCCAAAGTTTCTAAATTTGCACTATTAACTGGGATTATGAAATAATTTCTTTGTATATTTGAAAACATGATGTAAGGTGATGTTTTGTGCGTTTATGACTTTTATAAGATTTTGGAATATTTATTGTTTCAGATTTATTAAAATAAATATTGATATGTACTTAGAGTCACTGCCTGATTAGTCTTGGCCAAGTGGAACCCTGTTTAACTGGTACTAGAAATAATAGGTGTTATGGGTTTGTTCAGTAAGGTGAATTTAAAGTACTGTTGATTTCTGGTGACTTAGGTTTATAGCAGAGATTATTTCATTTATATTCTCGAAACCATGATGTCATCAAGTATGTCATTCCCTTCCAATATTTTAAAAAACAAATCATTCAGAATCTCACAAGATGATAAAATCCTGTCGATTTCTGGTGAACTCATCCTTGAGCTTTCAGGCAGTTATGATATTCAAATTAAAATTGATACACCTGAAAAACACCTGAAAAACTCCATGGTGTTGTCATTGGGAACCCATTACTGTAATTTGTCGACTCTCGGCTGCTGATTGGTTTCTGGGTACAATGTAAGGAACTGCTTCTCACCTATAATCCCATTAGGGCTCTGCTCCAGGATCCCCTCCTCCCACCAAGGCCGGGCAGGCCTGTCAGGTCAAACAGAAACTACTCTTGAGCCCACATTTCAGATGGAGACTGCCACAAGAAGGGGCTGTTTTTTCACAGCAGCACTGATGCTGCCAAACAGCCTGCTGGGAGATCAGAGCCTTCTTCAGAAGCTTTCAAAGACAGAGTAGTTCTGAGAGCTTTCCCCCTGGTTTTGTTACACCATTTTTAACTTACATGTTTTACTTTGGGGGTATTGTACTGTTTTTATGAATGTTGTACCATGGGTGTTTTACTTGGTTTTTATGGTCTATTACAGCAAGATAGAAATGTGAGAAATAAATAGACTCTCTACAGGCTTAGTGGAATGTGATGAATCAATCTATTATCTTCCCTGTGTCTTTTGGCAGGTTTGGGCTAAAGTTAGTCGCTAACTTTGCCCCAATCTGGAGATGGAGTAAAAATCTGAGGCGGGAAGCAGAAGACTTTGGCATCTGTAGCCCTCAGCCAAATAAGTCCCACAGGTGTTTAGCGCATTCCAGCACATCAGAAATGTTCTTAACACCTTTACTTCATGTTCTGGCTATTTGCAATGTATGTAGGATCTAAAGATAGATGCCTCTTGCGTCAGTTCCCACCTAGTTAGCTTCATGCAATTTACTACACGTCAGAATCCATATTTGGAATCGGTTTCATTCAATCAATTGTTCATTTTTCCTTTTCTTTTGCTTCCACTATGGAGATATGGTAGTGTAGATGATCAAGTACATAGATTTCTCTACTGCTTTACAGAAAAATTAAAAATAATTGAGGTTGCCTGTAAGTAGCGTTAGTAATCATGTGCAAAGAGAAGCCAGCATGACCCAGAGAATGGTAGGGCATTCTAGGAGGGGCTGTCCAAGAATGAGGACATACTGGCCAGGCTGGAATTCCCTGAAGCCAAGAGAAACCTGGCCAACCTGCTCTGAAACTGTTGAATATCTTTATTATCAGCAAGTAGATGAAAGTCAAGCAAAAAGAATGCAGACGTCAAAGGGTTAGCAAGTTTTAAAATAATGTTACCTGTTTGCAGGTGTAGACAAACAATTGGGACAAGCAGTAAATTGTGCAGTATCTTTGCTAATGCTTTTTCCTCCCCCACAATAAAAACTATAAGAACCACCAACCTTATTAAATTAAGGGAGACTTTTTCTAATTTTCTAATGTAAAGGCACATGCATTCCATCTAATCCTTCTCCTCTAAAATATTACTGCAAATTGTTAGGAACTTAAGAACTTAAGATCCCTGCTTCTCTTGGCCTCTATTTTAACTGGCTTTTGCCAAAATCCCCACAGGATTCTGCTCTTAAGTACCGTAAAGGTTGGCTTCAGAGCAGTTGAATCCCAAGAAACCTTTGAAATTGATGATACCCACAAAGTAATGCCTGATATATTCTTGCTGGGTCTTTGTCTAAATCTCTGGAGGGTTGACTAGTTATCAGTACAAATTGCATTTGGATTGCTTTTTGAACAAAACTTCACAAAATTTACAGTTTTCTTCATAAGGAACTTGACTATATTAACACCACAACTTCAGAAGAGAGGAAAGGTCCATTCAATGCCCCAATGCCCTTTTCATTCCAAAAAGCAGAAGATAATTTTGCAATCCAAAGCTTGCTTTGGTATCCCCAAACTTTATAGCATGTTCACCTCTAATGACTTTGATCATCTGACTAATATACTGTAGGTGTGATAGGAAGACATTTGGAAAGAAATTTCATCATTTCATCTTTTCCTTTTCAAAATGTGAGAAACTCCATGTTCCAAATGGTGGACTTTGGAATCAATGGTAAATAACCATAATTACTACTGATTGGGAGTCGTGCCTTTAAGCGAGAGATGTCTATTTTGACATGGCTTCCACTGATAGGTGGAAATTGCCTGAGTATTTAAAAGAGGGCTTATAGTCATCCTCCAACCATAATTTAATCTTCTGAAGCAACTGTGGAAAGCTGATACCTGTCACGCCTCTTTCTTTCTGACATCTCCTACCTTCAAGGGATAAGATCAGGATCATCCAGCAAAAACTTGTTCTTTAAGGTACATCAGGAGGACTTCGACTCCTGAATAGAGGTGGGTAAACCTTTATCTACGTGGATCCATTGATTGTATTTACTGCTTACAGTGCTATAATTTCCCTTGACCCGTTCTCTGTTTCCCAATTTTTGTTTCCTTGTGTGCATTTGGAGAGGTATCTTCTTGTTTTTACCAAATAGCTCAAAGCATGACAGAGCTTTGCGGATAACAATTGCATTATAATAATTTTGAAATATGGAAACTGGAAAAAAATAGTTAAGACATGAATTCAGAAGAATAAAACCTGGATTGTGAAACCTTTGGACTTTCCTAATGGTCTACTTACTTTGGCAATCGATTACTGGCATTCCTTGTTTTTACCAAATTCTTCAAGGAAATTTCCAAAACTTAACATTTGCCTCTAAAGGTTTTTGCTCCAGGGTCTTTGGATTTGGGCTACTTGTTGTTTGACAGGTAGACATTTTGTTGTTTAAACCAGAGGCAAAGAATGTATTCATCTACAATTTGCTTTTCTAAGAAAAACATATTAAAAATGAATTTCTGCTTGCTCTCTATTTGCTTTGATGTCCTGTTGGCTACATTTTTCTATATTGCCTTGAGCAATGGTTCAGATTAGGAACTTGAACTTTGCCAGGCAGTCTCCATGTCTGCATTTTGAGAGCACTCTCTTGCGAAGTGATTACTGAGCATGACCTGTCCCAAAGCATGAATGGATGCACGGATGAGGTTGCTTGACCAACATGCTGCTTTGTAAGGGTGTCATTCATGGGGAGAGTAAAACATGTCAACAACTTTTGCAACTTTCCCCTGTGAAACCTTTGAGATGCATTTTAAGAACCTTTAAATTGCACAACTGGTGGCTGTTTTCTTTTTGCAGTGCCTGGAGGAGACCCACCATGGCACAGGTGTGTCAGCCTTCATTCCTATTTGCAGCTTTTGTGCTCTATATAGGTACGTCACTGCTTTTCTCCCCCAATGGGCCTCTACACTGACTCCTTGCCAGTAAGGTTGTGGCCATCTTTCGCCCAAACATCTCAGTTATGAGAGTTATGGTATCTTCTTCCACATGGGTTCATCCCTTATTTATTTATTTATTTATTTGATTTGCCAATTGTTTACAAGATAATAAGTATAAGTGTATACATAGTTGTGAATACATGAAATGGGTACATATAAGAAAAATAAAAGAAGAATAAGAGAAACAATAGGACAGGGACGGTAGGCACGTTGGTGCGCTTATGCACGCCCCCTACAGACCTCTTAGGAAAGGGGTGAGGTCAATAGTAGACAGTCTAAGGTTAAAGTTTTTGGGGTTTGGGGAAGAAACTACAGAGTCGGTTAGAGTATTCCAGACATTCTAAAGATTGTTTGTTTATTATTTATTTTAAAAAAATATTGGCACCTACAGGGTGATTTACAGTCAACACACACACAGAGAGAGAGAGAGAGAGAGAGAGAGAGAAAACAAAAACCAACAAATGCTACAATCCAATTGCAGGTGGGGCCTCTTGTTAATCAACCAGAGGGCTGCTCCTGCATTGCAGCCCCAGGCCAACTGGCAGAGCCCTTATGAAAGGATAGGAGGGCTGGGTCAGCCTCACATTGGTGGTGAGGGGGAGATGTTTCAGAGGGCAGGAACAAGAGCAGAGAAGAAGGGGGCCCTCCTGGACCCCACTGGTCAGAATAATCAGGCTGAAGAGAGCTGCAGCAGGCCTCCTCCCCCAGCACAGCAAGGACAGGCCCACCCCAGTGGGGTGACTGGTCCCTCAAGTGGCCTGGACTCATGCCATGAAGGGCTTTAAAGGCGATCACCAACCCATTGGGTTGCACCCAGAAGTAGACTGGCAGCCAATGCATTATATTAGATATCTGGCCATTGTCTCATGCAGTTCCACTGGCTGCAAATTCTTGCCAGAAGACAAATTTTTCCGGGAAGAAGATATTGAACTGCACATTTAGAGCTGTCTATGTGTTTCCCCCAAATGTTCTCACTACAGCTTTTAAATTTAAGGCAGTTCTTAGGCCAATGACAAAATGATTGGAATATGCAGAACTCCATTGTTTCTCGTTGGACTTTTGATTCACTTTGTGTCTATTTAGACTTCCTGTTCTGGATACTTATTCAAAGAATTTCTCATCAGCTTTCCCTAGTGTAGATCCCTATAGGTGTGCTTAGACTGGCCATCCCAGTAACCCAGCCTTCTACCTGGAGGCCAGGAGTTCTGTCCCTTGCAGTCCTCATTTGTGTTGGGGATGGCCTGGCTCTTTCACCAGAGGCTCCAGGGCTGAGTTGGGCCCCTTCTGCCACAGACGTCTCTGCCAAGCTCAGATCTGTGAGGCCCTTTGAATCCATCTTTCTTGCACAGCTTCGAAGTCTACAGAGAAGCCGTTTCCTTGTGTATGCAGCTTTTTCACCGATGAATGGAATCCAGCATTTCTTGGGAATTTCTTATACATTTACACCACAAAACAGCTGATCCCCCTCTTGTCCCCGTCCCCCCCCCGCCAATGCCCGAATCCCTCCACCTGGTAGTACAACACATAGGAGCAAAAGATTGCTGATAAACAGAAAGCACAGAGCATAAGTAGATTTCCTCTGTTTGGGCACACGTATTTGGGGAGAAGTGTGCAGTCCACAGGGAGGAGCAGAGGAGCTCATTTTTATTTTCTGACACATCCGGTCACAAGGATCTGAGTCTCAGTGTCCATTTGAAAGCTCTTCCTAGTTGGAGGAATGATGAGTCAGGTGGCTAAGCGGTTTGACGAGAAAAAGCCAGGGGCCCTTTCTAATGGCCTTCCCCTTGTTTTGCAGCCTTCTTTGTAGCCAGAGTGGAAGGGGCATCGGTAAGTTGCTTTTGTCTCTCTTGACACAGTGAAGGTGCTGTCCTGCTCTTGTCAAAATTTGCAAGATGGTGGAGTGGGCATTGTGACTGGCCTTTTGCATGCAGCACCTCGCAGATTTTAATCTCCTCCTGTGGGCGTCCTGGGAAGGACGAAATCATCAGGAACAGGGTTTTTCACTGATTTGTACATATCCTTGTTCCATAATGTGGGGATTTTGAGTTCGTTTGTAATTCTCTTGAACAAAAAAATGGCAAAAATTAACTTAGTTGCCTGACACTTTACTACTAAAGATTTCTGGTAGGGATGTGAATCACAAAACAAACAGCTCAACAAGGAAAAAAACGGATGCTGAACATTTTTAAGCAAGGCTCCTATTTTTATAAATAGTCTCCCTGTCAGTTGTAAAGACTTGCATTAGCTTTATGTTATGAATCTGCAGAAATAAAGACTCAATTATTTTTTAAAAAGTTAAGGCTTCATGATTCTTTATCACAGTTTGCAATAAACATTTGCACCACAATTGTGAATTCACTGACATTTGAAGGATTCAATATTAATTGCACTTTTGTACTTTTCTTCATTTTAGTGTCCCGCTGCCAGGATTAATGGTACGTGATATATTGCAATACTTTTGTCGTTTGGGATTCTCTTAACAAGTATATCTTTTGGGGGAGAAGCCTGCTAATTTTTTCTTTGTTTTTTTCTTACTTTTATTTTTGCAGTTTCCGAAGTTTGTGAAGATGTAGAGAGGTATTTTTATAAACCAATTAACAAATTCCTGATGCTGGGAAGATTCTGGACAAAAGTGAAATTAGCATAAAAGGGTATTTCCTTGTCCACATTCAGGACTAGCGTTCTATTTTACAAATCTTTGTCCTTAGCTTTGAACAATATTTTTGGCTGCAAAAATGTCAGTATTTATTGCCATATTGCCAAAAAGTTTTGTTTCTTGATTTCTATAGATGACATGAGGAACAGTTGAGAACTTGAGCTGCTACCAGGAATATGGCAGTTTGCAGAATGGAGTATAGTAGGGAAGCAAGGGATTAGCTGCCCAGAAGACAATATTTTTGTGTGGATGTTTTGCAAGTGAAAGAGCTAGAATGAAGGATGGGATACATCCATGTTCTGCAATCCTGTAACAGGTTAAGCATTGTGGGACTGTATTCCCAATGCATTGGAGGGAGCTACACTATGTTAGGGAACATTTTGAACATCTTTCTGCCCTGCATCTTCCTTTCTGGTAATAACAAAACCTATTAACAGCCATAGAATAAAGGAAGACACGATTGTGGAAAAGCTCTGAAACTGTAAGGGAAACTCAGGTTGCTTCCAAAAGGAGTATAAAAATGGAAAGGGAGGATATTTTTTCCTAGTCTGGTAAGGAATAATCAGATAACAAATTTAGTAATGGAAAAAAAGAACCCATCAAAACTTGGAAATTCCTTGGAAAATATGAATTTTTGGCAGGATGGTTTTTTTTTTTTAAGGCTGTGGGTGGGTCATGTACCATGTCCGTTGTTGCAAAAATGGGCCTACCTTATTGAATGTGGCCCTAGCCACATTCTTGGGAGCCTTTTCTGGCACTGTCCCTCTATGCCTGTCTTTTCCCCCCTTTTCTTACAGCATTGATGTCAAAATATCTGCCAACCTTACTCACCTCGTTTGTGACAATGTAAGTTCTCCATGTGCTTGCCTTACAGCCTGACAGTAGTAGATTAAGATAGGGCCTTGATCCAGGGCTAGGAGAGTGCTGCTGGAGGAAGGCTTTGCTGGTCTTTCATCAGCTAGTAGAGGTCAGGCCAGGCTTGGGCAGCCCAACCCCTTCTCCAACTGTTAGAAACCCTGGTCTCGGGGTTGGCACTTGAGGAAAACTGGACCATGCAGAGTACAGATTTAGAGCAGGGTGCCTCAAACACAAGTCATAAGGAATCTACTTGTTTTCAGTTTGATGTTTCCTCACTACTTTGATTTTGGGGTGGATGGCTTAAAAAAGCCAAGGTGGCACCTATGACTGTACAGTCAAAATTCTTTTTCATGTGCACTGCAAGATGAAAATGTCAACCTGCACAAAACTAGTGGCTAAAATAAAACCAAGCCATCCTTGTTAAAGAAGCAAAAATAGAATTGCCATGTCATTGACTGGAGGGATTCCAGTGCGTGTGTGTGTCATGTGAGTGTGCACACACGTCCTCCACTTGCAAAATGGAGCTTGTGCTTGTGTGCATGAAGTTCCACTGGTGCAAATGAAATGAACTTTGTGTGTGTAGGGCCGCTCCTCTTATGCAAGTGGACCTTTGTGTGCGCACTTGCCCACTACTTGCGCTAGTGGAACTTCGTGTGTGCGTGCGTGCCCATTCGAACAGGCTGCAGCCTGGGGTTTGGGGACCCCTCCTGCATTAGGAGAAAGTCTGTCCAATTTCATTCATGAAGATTTCAGAAAAGGAAAAGGACTTCTGTTAACCCATCAATATCTTGACAGGCAGCTAGATTCAAAAGTTGGCTTTAGTGTCTTAATTCTGTGCCAGTTTGCTGTTACTGCATCATTTTCAAACTGCTTTTGGACAGCAGTACTAATACTTCTTTAATCCTCTCTCCCTAGCTTCAGAATCTCAGTCATGTTAACACCACCTTTATAGTTCAAGCCTTGGAATTCACCCTGAGGAAAAAATATGACCTTCCAGTCAGTATAGTCAGAGTCCTTCTAAATCAAGTGGATGGGGAAGAGCTGATCAATGCACTGGAGGAATTTAATGAAAAGGTAAAAAAAAAAAAAACCACCCACCATTAAAGAAGAAAGTACACTTGCTGTGTGTTCATCACTACTTCAAGTAAAGACTTGCATTCACACAGTGCAGTGTGATTGTTGCTTGGGGTGTGATAGGTGAGAGCCAGTTTGTGTTGTGGCTAGAACCTTGGAGATCTTGGAGCTGCAGTCCCATTTTAGAGACGAGGCCAGTCACGCTCCATCCCACAAAGGAAGCCATGCCAAAGCCCCTCCGAAAGAACCTTACCCAGAAAACTGCAGTCTGAGGCTCCAGACAGTTGCCAGGAGCCCCTACTGACTTCAAGGCACCAAGAGGAGAAGGGGGAATTAAATAATTAAGCAAATACTTAATTTTCTGTGTGTAAGAAAAGAAATGGACTATCTCAAAACTGCAAATGTGAAGCAGATTCATGTTTCAGTATGACGCTTATTTGGGAAAAGGGCAGTTAGTCCTTTAAGTTTACCTCGTACAATGAAATTAAATGCCATCTTCAGTGTACATTATACATATAAAAACACACATCCTTCACATTTTATACAATTGAATTGAAAACCCCTGATATTGCATTAATATTGCACTATACAGTAGAATTCAACAGAGCCCTGGGATAGAAGCTGTTTTTCAGCTTATTTGTCCTTGTTTTTATTATTGTCCTGTACTGTCTGCCCAGGATGAGATGGGTCTTTGAGAATGTTTTGAGCTTTCTTAAGGCAGCGGGAGCTATAAAGCTTTTCCAAAGAGGGGAGAGGGCAACCCATGATCCTCTGGGCAATGACGTTCACCCTCTGGAGTGACATCCTATCTGTCACTGTGCAATTGGCAAACCATACAGAGGTGCAGTAAGTTAAGATACTCTCTCTGGTGCAGCGGTAGAAGGTCACCAGCAATTTTCCATTCGCTTGTTGTTTCCTGAGAAGCCGAAGGTAGTCTAATCTCTGCTGGGCCCTTTTGACCAGGGCTGCAATGTGAGCCCCCCAGGTCAGGTCCTCTTTTAGGGTAACACCCAGAAACTTAAAACTGGCCACTTGCTCCACTCGATCTCCATTGATAAGCAAGGGCTGGATGTCTGATCTGTTCCTTCTATAGTCCACACTACGAAAGCAACCGGTCCACCTCATCTCGGTAGGCAGACTCCCCCCCCCCCCCCCCCGAGATGAGTCCCACCACTGTTGTATCATCTTAGGTCTGCAGTCAGAGAATGGGAGTTCTCTGAAACTCCCAGAACTCTCAGAACCTTACTGAATTCACTCATAATTCACCTCCTTATTTCTTGACACTGAGCAATAGATCACGCTCTACTGTTGGGGAAGCAGTTTGTGAGTTTACTAATTAATGAACCAACAAACCTCCCTGTGCTTCATGGAAGCGAGGGCAACCTTCTCCAAATGGCCCATGAGTCTAAGAGGAGTTTCCCTCCAACACACCTGGGAGATCCAGAAAGCTTAGGAGAGTGTTTTTTTTAAAAAAATTTGGCTTCATCCTGTGCATTTATTCTTCACCCTCTGATATTTCCACTGGGATATTTCAGTTGGGGCTGCTGCTGGCATGCGGGGTAGGCAGTCCCACGTGTCCACAGCAAGGGGCAGATGCAGGGGGCCACAACTGCTGCTGCTGCTTCTCACATAAGCCAAGCTCCTGGGCCCAGGCTTTCTTCTACAGCCCATCACAATTTGGGCTACACACCTGCCTACTTCAGGTGCCAAATTGCGAACCTCATGACTGCCACTTGTTTTTCAGGCTTTGGGGAGAAACGAAAAGGAAAAGGTGAAAGGAAGATAATTTAATTTACCCCCCCTCCATTTATCATACTTCCCCCTCATGTCACCTCTTTTGGGGACTGCCGTGATGTGGAGAGAATTTAGAGAACTTACGGCTAAAGAATTCCCTTCCTGCTTCTCCAGCAGTCTTTATGACCATTTGCCCAGTGGGCTTCCAAAGTTGGAATAAAACAAGGTGCTTTAGCCAAGAGGTAACAGGTAACAGTTAACAGGTAGTTAGGCAGATTCGCTTGCAGGTGAACTGCTGCACCTGATGTGTGGGCACCTTCTGGGAGGCACACCCATGCGTGTACATTTGCTATCTTGTCTCCTCTCAAGGAGAACAGTTGCCAGGGATTTTCTTTCCCTGATGGGTGACACAAGGGCACTCTAGCAGTTGCTTTCCCGAAGTTGTTTCACATTAGATGCCTGAAGACAGCACTGGCCCCTGAGTGAGACAGAACTAGCCTGGCAAGAAGCGCTGGCAGATTTTCGGTTGCCTCAAGGCCCTTCGATCATGAACGGGACGAAGGCCTCCTCGACTTCCTAGTCCTGATGTTTCGGATCTTAAACTATTCTTAATGTTCTCTGAGTTCACTCTTCCTTAAAACCTCTGTTCCCATGATGTCTGTTCCCTTTTTGTGCTGCATATTCCATTTTCCCCTTAGGTTGCAATTTCTCTGCAACTCTCATGTCTCCTCCCCAGATTGTGAACTCTTCCTTAATTTCCAATCAAGCGAAAAGTGCCATCGTGAGAGCTTTGTGGGATGAGAAGCTAAGAAACGAAGATCGCTTCAATGAGACTGCCTTTGTGACGTCCTGGTTCCAGAAAAGACTTCGTCCTTTTATCTCGGGAATTTCACCAGAGATGCTCCAGTGCCTTCACAATGAGACCATGCAGTGCGAGCAATACCAGGCGATGTATGTGGTGGCACACTTAATCTTTTCTTCAGTCATGACTGTTCAATTATTCCCAGGATTGCATAACACCTGCTAGCATGTCTACCGGAGAGGAATATTGTCAATTTTCAAACTTCAAGTATTTTGAAATTTTGATTTTCCTATAGCCAGCAAATAGCTGTCTGAATCTATTAGGTATAGAAACATTTATACGCAAATGTTTCATTTTAGCTCCAGCATTAACTTTCTAACTCTACAAAGACAGTGTTGAATTATATATGTGGGTGCAGTAGTTTTCAACAACAACTTGCATCAGTTCAGACAACATGTCCATCTGTCTCTTTTATCCATGTAGCAAAGAGTTTCTTAATTTAAAGAACTTCCAGTTATGTGCACTTTAGCTCCTAAGATATTACTATACTTGTTGGGGAATTCTGAGAATTGGAATTCACATATCTGGAACCCTTATTCAAGGTCACGAAGCAAGGCTGCAGTCTGTGCTGAATATTTTTGTGGTATTCTCCAGAACATATTTAAGAGATATTTCTATCTATTCCTATCAAGCCTGTTTAATAAGAGTTTTATTGGGGGATGATTCTGCAAAATCAAACATTTAGAAATTAGCAATAAGGCTTCTCATTTGAATTCTGTATTTTGTTATGTGTACTCTATAAACAAGGGGGGTATTAAATAAGATAATCAAGATGTCTCCTCTGGGACCTCTGACTCAGCCATTGCCCATCCCATAACTGATAGATGTATTTGCTGTAAGTTATAGGTGACCTATAGAATAGCTGCTTTGCCCTAATTTGATCAACCTTTGTTTTAGATATATAGATACTACCTGTTTCTGGTAGTAGAACTGACACCTATCATATTAATTTTCTGATAAGTATAAATGATCCAGTGGTTTTTCATTATACCATTATAGTTAATGTTGTAATTGTTCTTTTGCTCTTTTGCTCTTTCTTCCAATGCAGTGAGGAATGATCCTGTAGTAAGAAAGAAGCTATATCCTTTGCTAGCTCTTCTAATTGGAGGGATGCTAGGATTTGTTTGGAACTTAAACGAGTTGATTTTGCTTGGATCCAGAAAGGAGCAAAATTGCAAGGAGACTGGTTCATTTTGGTGCCCTACATTTTGGAGGATTTAGAGCAGGAGTGGGATTCTACCAGTTCGCACCTATTCTCTAGAACCGGTTGTTAACATTCTAAGCAGTTCGGAGAACCGCTTGTTAGAAATTACTGGCCTAATCCTGTAAGGAAGGCAGGAAGGAAACATTCTGGTGTTGCTTACAGAAACTGCCTCTCCGTTAACCCTTATTACATTCTTGGCAGGAATAGACTTCCTGTCTCAGGAACGTCTCTGGAGTTATTTTCCCTTCCTTTGCTGGTACTTGGCTTGTGTGGAGTGACCATTCAAAGTTACAATGGCACTGAAAAAAGTGACTTACGACCATTTTTCACACTTACGACTGTTGAGAGGCCAGTCCACAGTCTTGAGAGGCCAGGTGAGGAGATGCGTGCCTCGATGTGAGTGATGTTGAGTTGGCCACATCCAGCCAATAACATGACCACCAAGCCACGACCACCACCTAAGCCATGCCCACAGAACCAGTTGTTAAAAAATTTGAATCCCAACCCTGATTTAGAGCCCAGTTTGAAATGGGCTTGAGTTCTTTAGAATCTAGGTGGACATCAAAACTCAAGCTTCTCCAAGCTGGTGCCCTCAGGATATTTTGGGAGTGCAGTTCCCAGAATTCCCAGCCAAAATGACTGCATCAAGTTGAGGGAAGGCCACAGATGACATCTGAAGGACCCCAGATTGGAACAGGCTAGTCCTAAAAAACAGTGAATATTTACCTTTGCCTTAGAAGACTTTTCCCCCCCTTCTTCTTTATCCTGGTCTTCATTTTTTCCTATCTATCCCTTCTCTTTTGCAAAACATGCTTTTGTTTCTCAGTGTTAAAGGATTAGATGCAGAATTTATGAAGATGAATCATCACATCCAATACGAAGTTTTCCACTCATTCCAACTTCCTTATTTAAGGGGACTGAATGCTAGTGGTAAGAGAACAATGGTATTTGTCTGGGTGTGGTCTCTTGGTAGCTGATCTGAAGTACACCGCAGTCTAGTCCCTGGGCTGGGCCAAATGAGCCAAGATTTATTTTTACAGTTTTATAATGTTTGGCAATTGCAAATTAATCTAGGGCTTTTATTTTCCTACTCCTGGTGAGGGGGAAACTAATTCCCCTGGAGTTCTAAGTAAAAAGATGAAACAATGGGATATACAATGAAAAAGCAATATTCCCAGGACCTCTAGCATGCTTGCAGTAGCTCTTATTTATTTAATTATAAAATTTGCTTGCCTCCCATCTTGTATCTAATGATTCTGGGTGGCTTACAATGTAAAAGTCTGATGTGAAGGTCCCTCATTCCATCCAATATTAGCTCCAATTTGGTGGGAATCCATGTTGCCCCTCCTCTTCCCACAGAGACCCCCTGGAGTGCAGGGAACCCTCAGTCCTTCTGCTGATTGGTCATCCGGAGCACCTGGGGTGGGGCAGTATAATCAAACCCCAGCCCTTTTACGAATGGGGCTTCAGCAATACCACCTTGATTTCACCTACCTCATTTTTCCTGCATAGAATGAGCACGACAAAATCCAGGCTCCTCTTGCCATACGCTGGCTGGATTATTCAAACTGTTTCAATCAGCTTAGCGAGGCCCATTCATATCATGTGCTCTAGTATATAACATACTAGGAAATTGTGAGTTCACACAACTCACTAAGCCACAAACTGCCAAGTCTCAGCTGACGCTGAGCCATTGTTGTTTAAAATATTCCATGAAATGAATGGGATGATGAAACCCCCCCCCCCAACTCCACCCCTTCTAAATGTGTTGGACTGCAAATGGAACCCTATCCTCAATAATCTATTTTGACTTCGGGGTAATTGAAATTCTCAGTAATAGATTTGGAAATATCTTTTTGCCTTTTAGGTATTTTAACTTTTGCTCAATTTGCTTCCTTTATCTCCCCCCTTTTTAATATATAGTAACAATAAAGTGGAGAATTTAAGTTGCAAGCTTAAGATTGAAACCATTATCATATAACTAATACTTTGATGTGAATTGCAGCATTCTTTTGTTAATGTTATATTTACGTTCAGATGAAGAAAAGCCCAAATAATTTTATGGTTTGTAATATTATCATCCCAAGGTATAATCAATATTGATATTTTTTTCTTTTCAGTACTTTAAGCTATCTTAATAATATAATGTTAATGACTACTAATAATATCTTATAAATATCACCATATTCAAATAGTACAACACATCAAGATTTATGACAATATAATAAAAAGGGGAAAATAAAATTTAGGAGAAGGGAATAGGGAGAAAGAGAAAGAAAAGGAAGCATTCAGTTGGAGAAAGTTGGTGCAGGGATCTTTAAAATGCAAAACATTATACTTCCATACCACCCTGGATCATTTAAAGCTTCTTTATAACCTGTTTAATATTATTCCTAACTGTTTAATTGCAGGATCAGCTTGCACAAAGGACCTCAACAGCACCTCATGGCTATTGGTCAATTTTGCACATTTCAGTCGATATGCCAAGTATCAAGAGTTTCTTTCTTTGAATTCCAGGTTCAGTGGTGTAAGTTATTGATTCAGTCTTTACAGGGAGGGGTACTAAATACTTCTTGGCTAGTTAAGTTTCCTAAATCTTTCTGTATTTCAGGGGTGTCAAACTCAAGGGCTGTAAGCTGGATTCGCCCCACAGGGTGCTTAAATCTGGCCCGCCTGAGCTGGCCTGGAAATAGCAAAGGAGCCCCTCCTTTGCTCTGGCAGCCAAAACTCCCTGCGCCCCATTTTGGCCAGCAGGGTTAGAGTTAGAGGCCATCCAGGTCATGTCCCCCATGCCCTGTTTTGGCAGGCAAAGTGGTGCAGGAAGCAGTCCAGACCAAAAAACAGGCTGGGGGGGGGCGTGTGTGCCCCCCTGCCCTGGTTTGGCTGGCAGGGTGCTGCAGGAGGTGCCCATCCCATCTCTCCCCCCCCCCGGCCACCCACAAAGGAGATCTGGCCCTCAAAGAAATCCAGTTTGACACCCCTGCTGTATTTGACCAGCTTTGATTTGTATCAAACATTTCCTTGCTTTTGCATGTTGTTGCATTGCTCTTTGGTGATATTTATAGATGTTTATTTCATATTATTGTGTTATAATAAGACAGGCCCGTGGGCTGGAGGCATCATGCAGAGGCCCGCCCATCCCAGCTCTGCAAATGGGGAAAAACATCGCAAAATACCATGTGACAGCAATGTGACATGGCAAATTTGACACCTGTGTAATAAGACAACTAAAGGATTTGTAATAAAGATGTATTGAAAAAAATGTTTGTAGGGAAGAGAATTAAATAAAATAATGATCTGGTCTATCTGCAAGTGGTCTCTGACCAGAGTAGCAATGAGCTTAGAGGTGCATTATTTTTAAAGAGCAGTTGCTGATGGAGGGGACAGGAGAGCTACTTAGGAGTTTAACAGGAATCTGGGTGCGGGAAGCTGAACTTGATGGAATTTTCTTAGTCTTATTTGACAATTCTCCTTTGTCCTTAGCAAAATTACTCTCTTAGTAGATTTGATGATGTTCAGGGTATAGGAAAGCCTGTTCAGTTTGGTTATGACCTCTAGCAGTCTGAAATGTGATGTGTTCCATTGGTTGCTTCTTCTTGGAGATTGCAAGGGACTCAAAAGGTCAGGTTTCAAATCCATCACATTGCCTGTGGGACAATAGCAGAGTAGAACATTTAGGATCAGTCCCAGAACTTCTCAGCTGCTTTATAGGAGGAGATTGATTGTAGCTTACCAAATGAGAAAAATGTTTATGGCCAGGAGTCTGATGATAAGAAAGCAAAAACCAAATTCACTAGGAATGATGGTAGAACGTTTCTTCCAGTCTCAAGATAAACCAGAGTCTCTTTCAAATCCACTGGTGCCATTTGTGTGGCATGACATGGAGAATTGCTGACTTCCAGGATGTTCGTTCAACATCCCAGTGTAACCTCTAGCTCTTTCCTGCTGGTTTCTTTTCCAAGGACAGATCAACTGACTCCTTATCTTTCTACATCAGCCAAAGTTAGTCAATTGCTGAGGACTAGCATCAGAGATTCCCACCGTGTGTGAGGGCACCAGTTCATTATATTTGATCCACATTAGTAGAACATGGGTTGTTTGTTGGTTGAATAAGAAAAACCAAGCCCTTTATCAGTCCTTTATGGGTCATTAGTGGAACCAATGACCTCACATGGCTGAACTCATTCTTCTACAGCAGGGGTCCCCAACCACCGGTCCGCGGACCGATACCGGTCCGTGGAACAAGTCCTACCGGGCCGCTGGTTTGCTGGGCGCCGCCATCTTGTTTTGATGAAAAAGTGCTTCCGGTGAGCTTTTCCGGGTAGAAAGCTCACCGGAAGCACTTTTTCATCAAAACAAGATGGTGGTGCCCAGCTGATGCCGGTACCGGGCCGCGCCATAAAAAAGGTTGGGGATACCGGGCCGCGGCATAAAAAAGGTTGGGGATCACTGTTCTACAGAACTAGTGCCTGCATTAGACGTTCATCTGGTTTTCCTGTCCAGTGTTCTGAAAAGCACCAACAGGTTGAATCTGTTGTTTCAGTTTGACACAATGCCTCTGAAGCATCCTGGATTTCAATGGAAAATTAGAATAGCAATTCTTAACTACATTAGTATGTTATACATTAAGTGCCAGCATTGATGTTTGCTCCCAGATATGACTATCAAGATGTACCCAGACCTAGAATTGATCTCAGAAAAAAATATACTTATATATAATTACTTCAAGTATGCCCCCCCCTTCTCTTTCTTTCAGTGTCCCCTCAGGTTCTGATCAAGGTAGATTTAGGACTGAAAAATGGATTGCTTTCATAAAAATGAACTAGGTTGGCCTCTTTTATAAGCAGCTTAGAATAGAATAGAATAGAATAGAATAGAATAGAATAGAATAGAATAGAATTCTTTATCGGCCAAGTGTGATTGGACACACAAGGAATTGTCTTGTTGCATATGCTCTCAGTGTACATAAAAGATACATGCGTCAAGAGTCAAGAATCATAAGGTACAACTCTTAATATAGGGTACAATAAGCAATCAAATACTAGGAAACAGTCAATAAAAATCATCAGGATACAAGCAACAAAGTTACAGTCATACAGTCATAAGTGGGAAGGGATGGGTGATAAGGAGTGATGAGAAGATTAATAGTAATTGTTGTGTCCCTGACTAGCTAAGTCTTCAACCTGGTCCGCATTCTGAGCGGGACCACCGACTGTTCCCATTGGTTGGTGCCGTTTGACAGCAAACTATATAAGGAGCTGTCAAACGGCATCAGCCGCTCCAGCCAGCTGGCTGCCAGCCCAGCTGGGCAGCCACGACAACCTGTTACTCTTCAAATAAAAGAAACGTTATTCTTCAGCTCCTGTGTCTGCCTGGTGTGTCCGTCTACTAACACAACACTGGCGACGAAGGTGGGATGACAGAAGAGACACCCAGGCAAGACAGCTGAGCTAAGCCACTGAATGTCAGAAGCCACTGAATGTCAGGAGCCGCAGACAACCTCTGCGCGCACCAAATTTAAAGAGCCTCCTCAGCTGAGGAGAAAGTCACTGCCTAACAGGCACTGTTGCGTGCGCCCTTTTGAGGGCGCGAAACTCAAAGCCTCCCCAGCCGAGGAACAGACATCGCCCGAAAGGCACCCCCGTTGGCGCTACCAAAAGTGCAGAAGTCTGAAAGCCTCCCCAGCCGAGGAACAGACGTCGCCATCAAGGCCCGTGAAGGCCGGCGAGACCCCCCCCGCTGGGCAGGCATAGAGCCGCCTCCCGTGCCAAAGGCACCCCCGTTGGCGCTACAAGAGCGCAGAAGTCTGAAAGCCTCCCCAGCCGAGGAACAGACGTCGCCATCAAGGCCCGTGAAGGCCAGCGAGACCCCCTCCGCTGGGCAGGCATAGAGCCGCCTCCCGTGCCAAAGGCACCCCCGTTGGCGCTACA